ACTGGAGATACAAAGATAAAATGAGGCACAGCCCCTGTCCTCAAGGGCTTACAATTTGGTAGAGAGGCTAAAGAAAACCCCCAGTACATAAAATATGACACATAGAAAGGAAAGGTCAAAGTAGCTGGGGAAACACTGGAAGGGCACTAGCTGAGAGAGAAGGGGCCAGGCTAAGGGGTGCCTTAAGTGGACCTTGAAGGAAGAAAAGATTTTCAATAAGTAGGGAAGGGCTTTGGAGATGGGGAAGAAGGTGCTGGCAAGAGACTAATGCAGGTAAGCAGCCTGGTTTGGCTAGGATATATATATATATATATATATATATATATATATATATATATATATAGTGCATGGAGGGGAATGCAGTGAATTAAGTTTGGGAAGCTGATTTGGAGCCAGACTGTGGCAAGTCTTGTATTCTAAGTTAAGGAGATTTATTCTGGAAATAGTAGGGAGCCAAAGGCGGTTTTTGAGCACAGTAGGGATCAGACCACAGTGATTATTCTGACAGATTACTCTTTGAAGGAGAGCTTAGGGCCAACTAGGTGGCACAGTAGATAAAGAGCTGGCCCTCCATTCAGGAGGACCTGAGTTCAAATTCGGCCTCAGACACGTAACAATTACTAGCTGTGTGACCCTGGGCAAGTCCCTTAACCCCATTGCCTAGCCAAAACAAACAAACAAATATATATCTATATCTATATCTATACACACACACACACACACACACACACACACATATATGAAATAAAATTCAGATTACAAAAGCCAATCAATTATTCTGAAATACAATTATTAACATTTTTTTAAAATCCATGGACCTCCACTGCTCAGATTCTTACAATCTAGCCAATAGCTCACTAATGTTCAGACTCCTGAAGAGTCTGCCCAATATGATGGATGTTCTAGTAAACCTTGTCTTCAGCGGAAAAAAAAATCCACGGACCTCAAGTTAAGACCTCCTTTCAATAGGATTAGACAACTAATTGGTGAAGAAGAAAGACTTGATCATTACTCAGATTTCAAGCCTGGGTGATTGGATGGAGATGCCACCAACAGAAACAGAGAATTTAGAAAAGGGGCAGGACTAGGGAGGAAAATGATGAGTTTAGTTTTAGACGTGTTAATTTGGAGGTTCTAGCAAGATGTCCCAGGAGAAAGTCCAAGAAGCAGTTGGAAATGGGGGTCTGGACCTCAGGGGAGAGATAGGACTGGAAATATAAATTTGGGAGTTATCTGCATGAAAGTGCTAATTGGATAGAAATGGACAATAGTACCCATCAACCAATCAGTAAACATTTATTAAGCTCCTACTATGAGTCAAGCAGTGACTGGAACCAATAGGTGCTGGAACCAAATGAGAAAGCATAGAGAGAAAAGACAAGAAGACTGAGGACAAAACTGTAGGACAGGAGGAAGAGACACTGAGGCAGAAAAGGACCTATCAGTGTTAGAAGGAATGGGAAAGTGCAATCAATGCTTTCTTTTTTTTAAAGAATATTTTTAAAAATTCAGAATGTCACAAACACCAAATAAAATAAGCATTTCCATATATATAGAACATAAAAGACGACTATACATGAAACTGCATCTATTATATGCAGCTTACTTTTCTTTTAAAATGTATAATTTAAAGTATATAATAAATAGGTATTGTTACAAATAATAAATTCAACATATAGTTTTCAAATCTGCCCTCCTTGTGCTCTTCTTTCTGCTCTCTTCTGTACAGTTTAAGAAAAATGCTTCAGTGATTCTCTTTTCTTTCTCTTTCTAGGTCACCCTATCCCTTGCCCCACTCCTAAATGAAAACAACAACATAATAATAGCTAGAATTTATATAGCGCCTAACTATGTGCCAGGCACTTGTGCTAAGCACTTTACAAATAACTCATTGGATCCTCACAATAACCCTTGGGGGAGGGGGTTGATGCTATCATTATCCCCATTTTACAGCTGAGAAAATCAAGGCAAACAGCGGTTAAGTGACTTGCCCAAGGTCACACAGCTACTGTCTGAGACTGCATTTAAACTCAGATATTCCTGACTCAAAGCCAAGTACTCTATCCACTTTGCTACAAACTGCCTAAAAAAGAGAGAAAAACAAAGCCTTGTAATAAATTTGTATAGTCAGAAAAATAAATTCCCACCTTGGCAAATGCAAAAAAATTTATGTCTTATTCTGCATCTTGAGTCCATCACTTCTCTGTCAGAAGGTGGGTAGCATGCTCCCTCACCCATCTTCTGGAATCATGGTTGGCCATTACATCAATAAGAGTAGAGAGTGCAATGTCATTTAATTCAAGGGAGGAGAAATTATCAAGAGGAAGAAGAGTGTTGAGAGTCTTCCCTTCCTTCAAGGTCCAGTTCAGATACCACCTCCTTTTCTCCTTATCCCACCCCCTACCCTCAGCTGAAGTTAATGTTTCCCTTCTCAAATTTCTAATACCACTGTGTTTTAATTGCTCCATCTCCTATATGCTTACATCTCATTTTATCTTGTGGTACTTATTTGTTTGCTAAATCGCTCCTTCTTAGCCTCCTTTATTGGTTCATCACCCATATTATGCCCCTTAACTGTGGATATACTCCAAGGTTTTACTCTGGGCTCTCTTCCCTTCTCTCTATACTTTCTCATTTGGTGACATCACCTGCTCCCTTGGGTTTAATTATTATAACTATGCAAATGACTTCTAAATTTCTATACCCAGCCCAAGTCTTTCTCATGAGTTCTAGTCCTGGACCACCAACTGCCTCTTGAACATTTCAAATTGGATATTCCATAGACATCTCAAACTCAACACGTCCAAGGCAGAACTCAATGTGTTTCTCCTTAAACTCAGCCTTCTTCTAACCTTCCTCTTCTTGTCAAGGGCAGCACTATCCTTCCAGTCTCCTAGGTTTCAACACTGTGATTCTCTTCAGCTTCTCACTTTCCTTAACTCCATAGACACAATCCATTGCCAAATCATGTTTCTCCCTCAACAACATCTCTCAGATCCAACTTTCTTTCATGATGCACACAGCCACCAACTTAGTTCAGGTCATCATCTCTTTTTTTTAATCTCTCTTTTTTAAAATTAATTTATTATTAGTTTTCAATATTCACTTTCATACTCTTTTGAGTTTTAAATTTTCTCCCCACCTCCCTCCCCAAGACTGCTTGCAATCTGATATAGGCTCTACATATACATTCCTATTAAACACATTTTCACATTAGTCATGTAAGGAAAAATTAGAACCAATAGGAGGAACCACAAGAAAGAGGAAACAAAAGAAAACAGAAGGGAAAAAAAAAGAGCAAATAGTATGCTTCAAACTGCATTCAAACTCCATAGTTCTTTCTCTGGATGTGGATAGCATTTTCTGTCATGAGACTTTTGGAAATGTCTTAGATCCTTGCATTGCTATGAAGGGCTAAGTCTATCAAAGTTAGTCATCAAACAATGTGGCTGTTACTGTGTACAATGTTCTTCTGGTTCTGCTCACTTCACTCAGCATCAGTCCATACAAGTCTTTCCAGGTTTTTCTGAAGTCTGCCTGCTTGTCATTTCTTATAGCACAATAGTATTCCATTACATGCATATACTACAACTTGTTCATCCATTCCCCAATTGATAGACATCCCCTCAATTTCCAATTCTTTGCCACCACAGAAAAAGCTGCTATAAAATATTTTTGTATATGTGGGTCATTTTCCCATTTTTATGATCTCTTTGGGATACAGACCTAGAAGTGCTATTGCTGGGTCTATCAAGGACTTTTTCTATTGAACCACATAGAAGAGTCTCCAAGTAGGTATTAAATGTAAGCTCTCATCCCCAGCTGTCGTCTCCAGTTATGGAGCCTCTGTCCTTGTCTATCTATCCGTGTATATGAGGATGGAGTGAGATGAGGATCAGTCTTCACATGGCCCTTGCTGTCTCTTTGCTTCTGTCTCTATCTTTTAGCTCTGTGGTATCTATTTCTATTTCATCTGTACTACCTTTCTCTGGTATCTTTGTTTTGGATGCTCACATCCTCTTCCTCTTTCTCCATCTCTGTCTCTTTTTTCTCTCTTTCCATCTCGGTCTCTCTTCCTCTTTCTGTCTCTCTTTTTTTTTTTAAGGCAATTGGGGTTAAGTGACTTGCCCAGGGTCACACAGCTAGTAAGTGCCAAGTGTTTGGTCTGAGGCTGGATTTGAACTCAGGTCCTCCTGACTTCAGAGCCAGTGCTCTATCCACCACACCATCTAGCTGCCCCCGTCTTTCTGTCTTCTAACACTTTTTGTCTTTGTATCGATGTTTCCTCCTTTGGGACACTTTGTCTCTAGCTTGTTGTCAGTGAGTGTGTCTGTATCTTTCTGTCTTTCTGAGTGTAACTCCCCTCCTCTGTCTCTGGGGCCCATCTTCTGTCTACCTTAGTTTTCCTTTTTTGCCTCCTTGTAACACTTTTTGTCTCACTCTGTCATTGTCTGTTTGAAGCTCTTTTGTCTGTCCGTCTTTCTGCCGGGCTCTCTGGCACCCCCTACGCTACCCCCAACTCTGTCCTCTAATGTCTGTCTCTAGGCCAGAGCCAAGCCCCAGTTGAGTCCGTACTCAACTCTGGGGCTCCCCTCCAGCTCCCTTCCTGATCCTGGGGGGGAGGGGGATGGACATTTGAGCCCTCCTGGGTCCTAGCCAGTTAGAACCGGAGCCCGAGGCCAGGACTGACAGGGGGTAGAGAAGCCCTGGTGGAGGGAGAAGCTGTCCCAGCTGTCAACATCCTTGATGGATTAGGGGCAGGCCAGGGCCTGCAGCCAGTATGCCTTAGTTCAGGAATGGAACTGTGCCAGAGGATCGTGTGTAGAGAAGGGGGAGGTTGTGGTGGCTTCCATGGGGAGAAACACTGTTCAGTGAAACTCACAGCCAAAGGGAAAAGGGAGGGGGAGGTGATCTGAGCTAGAAGGAGGTCGGGGGACCTGAGGATATGACTTTGTATGGATGCAGCCCACAAAGGGTATTTAAAGGGCCAAGATCTGCCATGCCCCTTTCAACCTCCTGTCAGCATCATGGCTCCTGGGTCTTCCCCATCTTGATGCTCCTACTCTGTGCGATCCAGGGAAGCCAGCAAGGCGGTGAGGAAATGGGGCTGGGCAGAAGTCTGCCTGGGCTGGGAGGGAAATGGGAACCCCGGAGAGGAAGGAGTAAGCTGAGAGGTCAGCTGCCTGGGTCCCGGCCTGAGAATCTCCCATCTGAGCAGCCCCTGTTCCCCTTCTTCCCTGAATCATCAGATCCCTCTCTCCTGCAGGCTTGGCCCCTCAGGGGAATGGCATCCTGGGGTGGTTCTTTTCCTCAGCCCATATGAAAGGTGAGTGACCCACCCAGCACCCAGTGATTTGGGGAGATCGGGGAGTCAGGCTTTTTGTTTCTTAGGGCAGATCACTCCTTCCCCTCAATAGAGAAATACAAAAAAAAATCCACTCCCTATCTATGTGGGAGTAAAAGCAGAATTGCCCTTAATTAATGAGAAGGCAAACATTTATACTGAATGTCTCAAAAGTCTTAGTGCAGATGTTTGGGACACCCTGTAGAGTACTTATAAGGTTTCCCTGCTGCTAGCTCATTTGATCTTTCCAACAACCCAATAGGGTAAGTACTACAGGAGGGTATTATCCTTACTTTATAGGAAACAGCCTCGGAGAGATTAAGTCACACAGGTAGTAAATGTCAGAGGTGGGATTTGAACTCAGGTCTCTTCTGATTCCAAGTCCTTTTTCACTCTACCATACTGCCTTTCACTACCCATGCAGATATCTCTCACCTCTTAGCAATGCCTAGATGGGCTCAGGGCAATCAATCATGAGAAGAGTTAGTGGCAGGGAGGGGCTCCCCAAAAGATGAGTAGGGGGCAGAGGACTTGTGTCCTTCACTTTTTCTTTCCCTGAGGCCCTCCTAGCCACTAGAAATTGATGCCCTGTGGAATCAGAACACAGTTAGAACAGAAGGGAATCGCAGAACATAGAACATTAGCAGTGTCTTGCACATATCCGGACCTTAACAAATGCTTATTTAATTGGTTAGAATTATAGCTGGAAGGAAGCATCAGCCCTAGGCTTCATCTAACCTGGGTGTTCTCAACATTTTTTTTTTCCTGGACCTCTTTGGCAGTCTGGTGAAACCTATGGATACCTCAGGATATTTTTTAAAAAAATTTTTTTCAGGATATTTTTAAATGAAGAAAATAAAATACAAAGGATTACAAAGGAAAGCTATTATATTGAAACAAAGTTATCAAAATATTTCAAAAACAAGGTCATAGAGTTCCCGAATCCATCCTGATTGTCTGGAGTCTGTGGACCCTCAGTACCTGCTTTTGTGTGGCCACATGGGGAGAGGAGATAAATTAAAAGAGAGGAACTCTGCTTTTTCCCCAAGGAGTTTACAGTCTCCTTGGGGAGACAAGATTCACATGCTAAATAATTAGAAAATAATAACGGACAGATCATAATTACAGCATGCTACAGATTGTAACTACTTAGGGGGTTTGATAGGGAGCTTAGTGTGGACTAAGACAGAAAACAAACTACTAGAGGGCAGAGATTATTTCTCATTTTGTCTTTGCATCCCCAGACCTAGTATCATTTGCTTCTTGCATGTGATAAGACTTAGTAAATGCTTCTTGGTTTGGACTGGTCAGAAAAAGCTTCCTAGAGGAGGTGGGAACCTGAGCTGGGGTCTCCAAAGGTGCAGGGAAGGACCAGACTGAGAGACTGAAGGAGGATCTTCCAGGCAAGGCAAACATTAGGAGCAAAGGTGAGGAGGCAGAGGAAGGCCAATGAGGAGACTAGGCTAATTGGAGCAGAGGGCCATGTTGGGGAGAAGTCTGGGAAAATCTGAGAAATTACAGGAGGCGTGAAGGAAAATTTTGGACGTTATTTGCTTTTCCATCCATTATCTTACCTGATCCTCATAATATTCCTGTGAGAGAAGAAAGGCAAGGCAAGGATTCATAGGGTCATAGAGCTGGAAGGGATCTCAGAGACCACTTAGTGCAAGCCCTCCTCCCCACCCCCAGATGAAGAAAGTGACTTGTGCAAGGTCATACAAGAAGAAATTGTCACAAGATGTGAACCCAGGTCCAGAGCCAGTGATCTTTCTATTGTACTATGCTAATTATCAACCCCACTTGACAGATGAAGCTCCATAGAGGGCCAAGGATCACACTTTCAGGGATAGACTCAGCCAGTTACTGGACCTAGCTCTCAGCCCAGTTACCCTAACATTTCTCCTCTCCTTGGAAGACTACAAAAAGGACTTGAAAGGCCACTGACTAGGAGAGTAGGGCAAGCCCCCAAGGAGAGACTCTGGAAGTCAATAACATATAGGTCCCCAGGACGCTAAGAAGGGGAACAGGGAGTCTCTGTGTCTCTTTTTCACTCCAACATTGACAAAGCTTTTGTCCCCAGGGGTTCCCCCAGGAGCAGGGGCTGGAGCTGCGGCTGGGAGCCCACCAGGAAAGGCAGGTAAGAAGAAGAATAAAGGGGAAGAGACTTGGGAAGATACTTAGACCTGTGAGACCTTTGGGCCCAAGGCCATTTTCCCTTCCATCCATGTGGATAGATGGCCCCTAGGTTCTTAGGGGAAAGGCTTTCCATGTGTCTCAAGGCCTGGGTTGACCCCCATCCTCTCCCACAAAATGCACAAGAACTTCATATTCACCCATGTCCGATAGCCATCTAGAAGAAGCAGAGCCTGAATGCTAACCCTGTTCCTAATGGTACATAGCTCAAGCCCCAGCAGCCCCAGCTGTCCCTCTAACCAGCCTCCTTCCCTGTCAATCTTCAGCCCTAGGGAATCCTAACTCCTGTTTGCCTCACTCCAGAATTTTTTACTGGCCAGACTAATCTTATTTTGTTTGGTCTTATCTTTCCACAGGCTATGGCCCACTGCCAAATGGCTATGGAGCAGGTAAGGCAATGTGTGGGAAGGAAATGAAGAGCAGGGTTCTTGGGCTCTGGTTCTAAGAAGTCGGGAGGGGAATCATTTCAGGGGGAAGAGATGTTGGGTGCCTGGGTTCAGACAGAAGGGTAAGGTCCTGGTGGAGGAGGTCAGGAACAAGGGGAAGTTAGGCGTTGGAGCTGGGTTGTGATAAAGTCTCAGACCTGCGTCCCTCTGATCTACCATGTAACATCTCCTTTACAAAGAAACCCTCCCCCAAAAAATTTTAAAAAAGCAAAACAAAGAAACCCCCTCCCCCCCTCCATCATTTCCTTATTCTAATGGACTCAGGCGATCAAAAAAAGCTTTCACTTGTGCAACCCAGGCTGGGCATTTTTTAAGCATGCCCAGTTTGTCTAGAATGCAATCTGCTGCGTCCCCTACTACAGGGGGGAGGGGGGTAGCAGCAGGCTCCATGTTAGACAAATCATGTGTGCTCAAAACATACCCAGGCCAGGTTATACTTCACACCAATTATCTGTTTGGCCCTACTACTGAATGCTGAATGCACTGAGGAAGGGGGACAAAGGGACCCTTCCTTCTGGATTGGGGAGGTGACTCCATTTGAAAAGATAGATTCTAGACAGTGTGTAGCTGGTACCAGATGACTTGTCCAGACAGTAATAGGGAGTGGGGAGGAGAAGGAAAGAAGGTGGGGGAAAGCCTCCTGGAAAAAGTATCTCACCTATAGTAGGCACTCAATATTGAATGAATGAATTGATGATTAAAAGGTGGGGCTTGAGATGGACCTTGAAAGATAAAAAGGATTGGTATGAGGAAGTGGGAGATGACATACATGAGCAGAAGTTTGGAGTTGAGAATGCACAAGTAATACTTCCCATCCTTGGTATATTTTCTCTCCATCTCAACCTAAGCTTCCCTTCCCCCACCCTTTCCCTGAAGCATGTCACCCTTCCCCCACCTCCCACATGCAGATAAACCTTTCCCTTGCTTCTATCCCCAATGGATCCATCTATGGTATAGTAGAAATAGCCCTGGGCCGGAAGTCAGGGGATTCAGGTTCTACTCCTGACTGCCACTTACCAACTGTGTGACCTTGGGTAAGTCATTTGCCCTCTGCAGTAGAAGTGATCTCTAAACTACCTTTGGGTTCTGACATACTTTGAACCTCTGATTCTATAACTCTATTATTGTTGATTTACTGATACCTCGCCACCACCCATTAATCTGTTTACTCCTCACCTTGACACTCAGGTATCTGAATAATTCTCCTACACAGTTCTGTTCGTGTCATTCCTCTACTCAAAAACTTTGCAGCTTCAAACAGTTGCTGTGTGACCATGGATAAGTCACTGGAACCCTATAAACCTCAATTTACTTTTCTGTAAATGGAATAATCATATCTGTTGCACCAACCTTCAAGGGCTGTTGTGAGGATCAAATGGGATAGTAAGCAAAGCGTTTCACAAAACGAAAAGCATCAGCTGTTGTTATTATTTCACTTTCTTATTTGTATCCCCATTGTCTACTATGAGGACTTGTGTACAGTCGGCATTTGCCAATTCTTTCCAGGACCCAAGGCTCACAACTCATCCCCAGCCTTCCCCACCAAACTTATCCCCTTCCCAGGGATTTTGTACGCTTCTATCCCAAAACAATATTAGGCTGGAAAAAGAAAAATGAAAGGACACTTTGCCTTCCTCAGGGAAACAGTGGAGGGCAGGGAGAAGATTCAAAGGGGGCGGGGACATGGAATAACTGGTGGTTTGTTGGAAAGAGGGGAGCCTTTCGGGTAGTTCTCCTCCCAAGCTCCCCATCTGATTGGGAGTGAACCTCGTCTCTTGCTCAGGGGATCCCAATGGACCCCAAGGCCTTGCAGCGAAAGCTGGTGTGTGTTTGTAAGTTTCCGTGTGCCTCTGTATGTTTGTGAGGATGTGTGTTTGTGTGTATGATTGCTTTTGTGTGTCTATCTTTGCGTGTCCCTGTTGTGGGAGAGTCTGAGGTCAGGTGGAATAGCCAACATTCCTAGTTTTGCCTCCACAAGGACAAGGTCCAGATTCTCTGTGCATCAGTCCATCACCAGCCCAGCTTCTAGCACTCTCCCTCACCCCTTCCTGACCCCATCCTTCCTTAAATTCTGTCCCATGGTCCCCTTCCCAGCCTGGCCTCACTTGTCCCTCCTCCCGTTGCAGGACCTGGGGCTCAGAATGGCTATGGAGCAGGTAAGAAGGGCCAGGATGGGGTACTGAGAGGTCAGAATGGATACCTGGAGGGTGCTGGTGTGGGAAGGGGACAAATTCTGGCATTCCAGGGGTGTGGGAGGAGTGGATAAAACGCCTACATTCCTCTCGGCCTCTCCTGTCTTTCCTGAGGGTCCTGGATGGAAGTGAGGAGGAGAGTCAGAATGAAAACTATGAGACTGAGGGAGCAAACCTTTTTATTCTATATTTCTTCTTCTGTCTCTCCCTGCTTCCATCTCCTCAGCAGCTCCCCCTGCATCTCAGTATTTCCTCTCCCCTCCATAATTCAATTATTAAACAATTTTGCTTTTCTAGGATACAGGAATGGACTGGGAGCAGGAGCCTTCCCTAGAGCTGGAGCCCAGACAGGTGTGGGGAGTTAAAGGCTGGGATGCCTGGGTTTTCAGAGAACTAGAGGATAGTGGTTAGAGATGAGAAATGGAGGAGGTCTCCTGGGTTCTAGTGGGAAAGACCAGGGATTTGGGGCTGGCCCCTGAGTTCTTGGAGAGGAAGATGGGAGAGAGCCATATTCTACTTCTCAGCCTCTCCCTTGTCTTTCCCCAGGCCTTGGAGGGGGGATGAAACCTCAGAAAGCAGGGGAGACCTCTCTGTCTCCTTTTTCTGTTTCTCCCCTCTTATGTTACTGTTCTTGTCTGTTCTGTCTCTCCCTTTCTGTCTCTTTTTCCACAGGATAATCCCACTTTGCCAATGCCTGCCCACTCCTACTCCTTTCCCTAACCTCCCATGCTGGGCTTAGCCAAGCAGGTCCCTATTATTCTGGGCTCTGAGTGGTAGCTCTTGTTCATTCCTTTGCCAGAGTTGCATTCCCCATCCCCCATACCTTTGATTCTGCCCACAATCAACCTCCAGCCTGAGACCTCTCTGCTCCCCGAAAGGCCCGTAACACAACCCCTTCCCTCTGTCTCGCCAGCATATAGAAACGGATTGGGTAATGGGGCTTTCCCAGGAGCTGGAGCCCAGCCAGGTGAGATAACATGGGTCTGAGGCCTGGGATTGCCTGAGTTTCTTGAAGGATGTTAGGAGGAAGTGATAAGAGTTAGGGCTCAGGTTGCTAGTGTTGGACATTGCTGTGGCGAATCTAGGGAGCAGAGCTAGAAGGGGGCAGGGCATAAAAACTGGTATAAGGAGGGATGTTCATTCTTAGCTAGGTGGGAGCTCTAGACTTCCCTCTCTCCCTCCTTCCTCTCTGGATCCCTTATCACTGTCCTTAGGATTCCTTCCGGATTTAGGAATTTAGGAATCCCACAAGACACAGAGGATTCAAATCCACTGAACATTTGGGGATGCTGAGGCCCAAAGAGGGTGTGCCTAATGCCACACAATGAGAAAGCAGTCAAGTCAGGATTCAGGATTAGAGCCAGGTCTCATGGCTCCCCGAATCAGGACTCTTCCTAGACAGGGATGCTGCATGAATGGGTTTGCTGGGGTCTCCAGGAGGTGTGGGGCAGAAGGACAAAGAGGATGAAGAGTGGATTTATGCAGATCCCCCCACCAGGGATAGTCTGACATTTTTCTATCTCTTCCCCTGGGGTTCTCCCTTGGGCTAGGTCTTCAGAAACCCCTTGGGATAGGCAGGCTCTGGACTCAGTTTTAGATCAATAACACCTGAACCCCTACTATCTTCCCACTTCCTACTTTTCCCCCTTTCCATAGGGTATGAAATTCAGAATGATTATGGGAAGGGGAATAGCAGAATGGAGCTGGGGACAGATAATTGGGTTGCTGGAAGTTTAGAGACTATTGGCAGGACAGATTCCTCTCAGTTTTACCATCCTCTTTCCCCAGGCCTTGGAGCTGGAACCAAGCCTCAGAAACCAGGTCAGACCTCTCCTATGACCTCTCTTTGTCTCTGTCTGTCTCCTTCAGCTATCTCCCTCTGCATCTTCCATCTCAGCAGACCCCGGGCTACAGTCTCTCTCCTGTATTGTCCTTCTCTATCCCTGATTCTCATTGTGTCTTTTTGTTCTTGTCTCTTTCTTCCTTTCTCTGTCTCTTTCTCTTCCCTCTTTTCTCCATTTGTCTCTCCCTGTCTTTGTCTATTCTTTTCAACATCTCTTTCCCTAAATCTCAGTACTTTCTTCCCCACCAACTTGTCTCTCCAGGATATGGAAATGGGCTGGGAAATGGCGGCTTCCCTGGGGTTGGAGCCCAGCCAGGTAAGGGGAGCTTAGGGTTGTAATAACTGAGTCATCAGAGGGTAGTAGGAGATTGGTGAGGGAAATCTAAGGGTTGGAAGATGAGATTGGTGGGTTCTGGTGGAGAGGAGCAAGGATTGGGGAAGGATCCATCCTGGGTACCCAGAGGGGAGAAGGGGCAATGTCAGTCCCTTTTCAACTTCCTTGTCTTCTCCCCAACCCCCAGGGCTAGGAGGGGAAATGAAACCTCAGAAAGCTGGTGAGATCTCTCTGTCTTTCATGTCTATCTGCCTTCCTAACTTGGACTCTCCCTATTTCTGTTTTGGCTGCTAGCTCTTTCCTACCTCATCATCACCATGGTTTCCTCCTTTCCCTCCCTCCCTCCCACCACATCCCCTCCCCAACCCCAGGACCATAGTCTGAAATTTTTTCCCAGTGCCTTCTTTTGGAATACACTTGAAAAGTTGGCTATACTGACTTCTTACGATGCCAAGACCTGGGCCACTTCAGGAGGTAGAGGTGGGGCTGGGGCACAGGTCATACAGCTCCTTCCCTCTCCCTGTCCCTGACAACTCCCCCCAAAAGGTCCCACTCCAGCCATTCTAGACCCCCATTGTTCTGTTCCCAAGTGTCCCATCCTGATCCTTTTCCTCTATCTCTCCAGGATATGGGAACGGGCTGGGAGCTGGGGGCTTTCCAGGGGCTGAAGCCCAGCCAGGTGATATGAACTAGGGGCTGGGATGCCTGGTTTATCAGAGGCCAATGGGATGTAAGGGGGGCAGGGAAGCTATGATGATTGGTAGTTAAGTTGCTTGCGGTTGGAGTGGAGGCTGATGAGGGGGGGGAGTGCAGGAAGCAGAACTGGATGATAGAAAATTTAGGCTTAAAAGAGAAAGGCAGGGGCAGCTAGGTGGTGCAGGAGATAGAGCACTTGTTCTAGAGTCAGGAGAATGTGAGTTCAAATCTAGCCTTAGACACTTACTAAATGAGTGACCCTGGGCAAGTCACTTAAACCTGATTGACAAAAAAGGGAAGAATATCCCCCTAAAAATGAGTCATTATGTTTGGTTTTCTGTCTGTGCACATTTATTAAGCACCTAAAATATGCTAGGGGATACAAAGACAAAACACCCTTGCATAGAGAAATTTTTATTCTACTCACTTTGGGGATGAAGGTGACAAATCATTAGAGTATTATCCCTTAATCTCACCCAGGACCAATGAACAGAGTCCTGCTTCTCAGTTCTAGCCCCAAACTCTATCCATTTCCCAATTCCCTTCCCTCACTCCAAGCTGGGTCTCCAGACCCAGATGAAACACTGACCATGAGACGTTCAGGCCCGAAACCAGATCCCTCTTAGCCTGCCTCTGCCACAAGTTGGCCTTATCCCCTTCCTCTCACTGAAGGGCTCAGGGCTCAGCATGGCTAGGAACCAAGTAGGTTAGAGCCCAGGATGGAGCTGGAATGAGACAGGTGGGTTCTGGTGAGGCTGAGCTGTCAGACTGAAGGGAGAGTGAGAGTATAAGAGATAAAAAGTTCTGAGACTTTGTGTTTGGAGACAGCAGGGGACACTTAGGGGAAGAACCAAGGGAGAATGCTGCTGGTAGGACTGAGGGAAGGGTTTGAGGAGTCAAGAACCGGAGCTGGCCCCCATTCATTCTATCTCTGCTCTGTCCCCAGGATTTGGAGTAGGAACCAAGCCTCAGAAAGCAGGTAAGACCTCTCTCTCCATCTCTGGGCATCTCCCTTTCTATGTCTCTCCTTTTCTTTTCCTTTCTGCCTCCTATAATCTCTCTTTGTGTCTCCTTCTGATGCTTCTATTTCTGTCTTCTATTAATCAATCAGGTATTTGTTAATTGCCTACTTTGCACCTGGCACTGGACTAAATTCTAGGGATAGAAAGACAAAAGTGGAAGTCCCTTCTCTAAAGGAGTTTGTATTCTCTCAGGGAAACAGAGAGAGAGGAGACAGAAAAAGAGATGAGAGAGAAAAAGAGATGAGAGACAGAGAGGAGAGATGAGTGAGAGAGAGAGGAGAAATAAGAGACAGTAAGAGAGATGAGAGAAAAGAAAGTAGAGAGAAAAAGAGATATATGTGTGTGTGTGTGAGAGAGAGAGCGAGAGAGAGGAAGAGAGGAACACACACCACATAGGTAGGATGAGGTAATTTGGGGAAGGACACACTCCCTGTTGAGGGAATTAGGAAGACCTCATGGTGTTTCAGTGGAGCTTTGAAGGACACTAGGGACTCTGAGAAGCAGAGATGAAGAGGGAGGGCACTCCAGGCATGGGGGGAACAGCCTGTACAGTGATATGGAGAAAAAAGATGGAGTGTCTTTTGTGGAGCACAGCAAGAAGGTCAGTTTGGGTGGACTGAAGAGTTTGTGAAGGGAGGTAATATATAGCAAGACTAAAAAGGTAGTTTGGATTCAGGTTCTAAAGGGATTTAAATGTCAAACAGGAGCTTGTATTTGAACATAGACGTAATAAGGAGCCTCTAGAGTTTGTGGAGCAGGTAAGTGTCATGATCAGGCCCGTGATTTGATTGGAGGTCAGGTGAATTAAGTGTCCATTGCAATAATCCATAGGAAAGGTGAGGAGGGCCTGAACCAGGGTGGTAGCCCTGTGAATGGAAAGAAAGTGAAAGGCTATCTGGGATGCTCTCTGTTCTATCTTTCCCTGTCCTAGGCTCTTTCTAACTCTTTGCCTTCCACAGTCTCTCCTCTGCCTCCTGCTATCTTTACCTCTCTGTTTTCTTTTTCCTTCCCAAACTTCTCCCAAAGTCTATTTCTCAAGTCCTTCTTTTCTCTGAAGCCCTTCTCCCTAACTCTTCCTATCTCAGAACTCCTCATTCATTATTTGTGTATATTTATTAATTCCCTACTATATTTGGAACGCTGTCCTGGGTTTGGGGAGATCTCAAATTTAGATAAGATAAAGCTTGTTGGAGCTCAGCTCAGGAAGCTAGGTCTTGTACAATCTCTCTAAATACCTTACTGCATAACCCACTCCCCAAATCCTCCTTGCCCCAGAGCACTTCTCCACAATCTCTTTGCTCCAGAGTGCCTCTCTCCACCTTTTTCCCTCCTTCTGCCTTCTTTGTTATGGGCCTCGCACTGGCTAGGGCCCAGGTAAGGAGAGAGAGCTTATAGGGAGGGGTAAAATGTGGCCCCTTAAAAGGATCTGAAGTTCTGTGAAGTTTGGATTCAGTCAAAGGGCTGCACTTGAGGACCTACAGGGCTACGTGTGGCCTCCAGACCACAGGTTCCCCACCCATGTCTGGGATATGGGTTGTCCACTAAATGGACTACCCTCTTTTCCCCTATAACTCTCTCTCCCCCCCAGGCTTTGGAACAGGGACAGAAATTCAGAGAGCTGGTAAGACTTCCAAGTTTTGGCAAGTCTCCATGTGTGCCTTTATCTCTGTACACATCTCTCCCCACCCTCCACCCCCTGGGGCCTTCTCCTCAGTTTAACTGCCCAAATCTGTCTCTTCAGGAAATGGGAATGGTCTACAAGCTGGGGCCTTCCCAGGAGCCAGAGCTCAGCCAGGTAAGGGGATCTGGGTTCCAGACACTTGGATTCTAGGATGGGGAATAATGGGGCTAGGAGCCCCAAATAGCATGCCCTGAACACAACAGAAGAGAGTAGAGGTCTGGGACTCAGAAACCTAAACCAAGATGATGGTAAGAGGGGGGCATGAGAGAGCTGATGCCTCCCCTGGGCCCTACCAGACACATTCTCCTTTGTCCTCTTCAAAGGTCACCAAAGGAGCAATGCCTGAAGCCTGTAGTCCTGAGAGTAAGACAAGTGAGGAGGGGACATAAAGATAGCTTAGAGCTCTGAGCCCCAATCCCTACTGTGACCTAGCACCATGCTGCTCTCTTGTCTAACCCTGGAAGCCTCCAGCCACCCTATGTCTCACCTCACCAACCTCAACTCCAATCTTAATTCCAATTTATCATGGCTCTCCATCCTCAACTGTGATCCAACTGGATACCAGCCCTGATTCTAACTGATCTCAATCCCAACTTAGATCTCAACCTCTATCCCAATATTGAGCCCAAATTTATCCCTATTTCTGATGCTGATTTCCATCTTAGTCCCAACCTTTATATTGATCTTAATCCCAATTCAGATCTCAGTCATATTCCTATTAGACAGAATGTCACTCATTCACTGTTCTTATCAATATCCATGAAGATGAAAGGAAGAATCCAAAGCTCATGGACAAAGATATCTTGCTTTGAGAGAGAGCAGGTTATTAAGGAATATACCACCTGATTTTGGTCAGGATGGGATGGGATGGGGTAAAAGAACTTGGATTTAGAAAGTGAGGTTCCTTGCTGCCAAGTTAGGGTGGAGCTGAAATTGAGATGCTTTAGGTGGCTACGAGGTAGAAGTTAGCTTTGCTCTTGTTTTTTCCCTCCTTCTCCAGGTCCCTGTAATAGGGGCTCCATTCCAGCTCCCAATGGAGTAGGGCCCGCAACAGGGAGTCCCTCAGAAAAAGGAGGTGGGTGTGGAATCTGGGAGTGGGGAAGTGGGGAAGAATCACACTCTCTCTTTCCCATCAGCTTTACATCATTATCTATATCTGTATCTATCCTTTTGCCACATACCTTCATCTCTCTCATTCCCCAAGGCACGCTCCCCAGAGAGCTGGGCTAGAAGCCAGAAGACTGAAATCCTGGTCCCTATCCCTAACTCATTGTGTAGCCTTGGACAAGTCACTTCCCTTCTCCAGGCTTATTTTCTCCTCTATCAAATAAGGGGGCTAGACTTGATAATCCCTAAATACCTTTCACATCTAATATGTTCCATGATCCCTTCCAACTCTGACATGCTATGTTCTGTGATTCTATGTTCTATATTCTAAGGTACTTTCCAGCTCTACTTGCTGAGTTATTTGGTCTAAGGTCATTTCCAGGTCTAACATTCTATGTTCTAAGAGCATTTCTTGCTCTGACATTCTATTTTTAAAAATTATTAGCATATTTTAATTTGTTCATTAAATTTTTCCCAATTACATGTAAAAATTTCTAACATTCATTTTTTTAAATTTAGAGTTCCAAATTTTCTTCCTCTCACCCCTTCCCTACCCCTTAAGAAGACAAGCAATATTGTTTCGATTATACATGTGAAGTCATGTAAAACATATTTCCATATTAGCCATGTAACATTGTTTTAGGTTCTCTGATTCCACTTTCCTTTCCCTGTGTCCTATTCCACTCTCTCACAAGCTACGATCTCTTCTCTATCTTCTGTTTTTCCCCTTGGGTCCCCTCCTCCTATCACATCATGTTTGAATTTATTTTCTCCCTATAGGATTCAGGGCTCAGAATGGCTATGGACCAGGTAAGGGTATAGAGGAAAAGGGGTAAGGGGGATATTGGGGATTAGGGAAAGTCAGCTAGCTTCCTGGGAGGGGAAGGCTAGAAACTGCTTGAGTGAAGGAGGGACACTATGGCTGAGATATGGTTGAGGTCCAGAGGAAGCTTCTTATGGCAGACATGCCCTCAGCTCTATGTTCTCATACCTGCTTAAGATGGGCAGTTGGATCTCACTCAGGGTCTTTGGGTTTTCTTCCTTCCTAGTTTCTCCCTCAGGCCTTGAAGATGGATTGAAGACTCATAAAACAGGTAATGATTCTTTGCTCTGCTTCTGCTTCTCCCAACTTGCCTCTCCCACCTTCCTTCTTTCCCTCTTTTCTCTCTTAGAATTCCCCATCCTTCACCAAGAGATGGCTTTTGTATGCCCTAACCTCACCAAACTATCTCTTCTCAGGACTCAGAAATGTGTTTGGAGCTGGACCCTTCTCAGGGGCCAAGATTCAGCCAGGTGAGGGGAACTGGGGTCCAAAGGCCTGGGCTGAGGAGAGGAGTCAGTACCTTAACTTTCCTAATTTTCTTCCTATGGGATAGTAGTTCTCTCTTTTTTGTTGTTATTGTTGATGATGGGAAGGCTAGAAGGACCCCCAGATTAGGGAGATGAGAAGCACTAATTTGGGTTTGAGAAAGAGAACAAACTTTCATAGGTAAAAGTGAAGTTTTGAAAGTAAGATTCCTGAAATCTAGAAGAGAAGTTGGGCTGGGCCTGGGAGGAAAGGGAGCTGATCTGAGTTGGTTCTGTTTCTTTCTTCCTCTATCATCCTCATGAAAAGGTCCTTAGAATACAGAATGTTGGGGGCCGTTAGGTGGCACAGTGGATACAGCACCTGACCTGGAGTCAGGAGGACCTGAGTTCAAATCCGGCCTCAGACACTTGACACTTACTAGCTGTGTGACCCTGGGCAAGTCACTTAGCCCCATTGTCTAGCCAAAAAAAAAAAAAGAATATAGAATGTTAGAGTTGAAAGAGACATTGGAACACTTAATGCCATAACCCAAAGAAAATCTGAAAACACAGCATGTTAGAACATACAACGTTAGTGCCACACAGACAGACCTGAAGACATCATCTGATTCAACTCCTCCTTTTTACAGGGGAGGAAACTGAGACCCAGAGATGGGAAGTGATTTCCTTCAGGTCACATAGATCTAAAAGGGATCTCAGAGGACATCTAGCTAAAACTCTTCCTTCTGCAGAGGAGGAAACTGGGGTGAAGGGATGTGAAGGAACTTGCCAAAGGCCAGCTAGTACACAACACATAGGATTTGACCTCAGGTCCCCCAGCCCCAATGTTGGTGCTCTTCCTGTGATAATTGTGCTCCCTTCTCCAGGGTAGGAGTAGGGTTTGGCCTGTTCAGCTTTGTGCCAGCAGGGAGAAGGGGCAGAGAGGTAGCTACCACCTGTAAGGAGAACCTTTCTAACAATTAGAGCTATCTCAAAGTGTTTTGGGTTTCCATTCAAAGACATCTTTAAGGGAAAGCTGGTTGAATGACTGGGTAGGGACTGAGCCTAGAAACTGTACTGAAGATGAAAACAAGTATCCAATCACCCCAGTAGCATAGACTACCCACTCAAACTATAGCAACAATGTTGTTTTGTTTTTGTGGGTGCACGCGTGCGCCACACACACACAGCCCAATAGTTCCATTCACCTCTTTCCTAAGGCACACCTTCACCCATCCTTGACTCCCTTACTCTTTCCATTGCAGGCTATGGTGCCATGAATGGGTATAGAGCAGGTAAGGGGATTGGAGGGAGGGAGGCCTAACTTCTAGGAGGGAACAGAGTCCAATCAGGGATGGGGAACCTTCGGCCTCTAGGTCACATGTGGCCCTCTAAGTCCTCAGGTGCGGCCGTTCCAAAGAAGTTTGGATTCAGTCAAAGGGCCACACTTGAGGACCTAGAGGGCCATATGTGGCCTTGAGGCTGCAGGTTCCTCACCCCTGGTCCAAGTTTTATTCCTTCTCTTCCCAATCTCTTTTCTCCCACCTCTTAGGTCTTAGAGGAGGAGCCAAACCACAGAAAACAGGTGAGATCTCTCCTACTGATTCTCCAGGTGCTCTCCCCAATCCTCCATTCATGGGTTACGTTGCCTCCAGGAAGGGAATAGTGTGGAAGGGAGAACCTGGATTCCCAGGTCTTCCCCACCCTCCCACTAACAAATCTGTCTTCTCAGGCTATGGAAATGGATTAGGAGCAGGTGCTTTCCCAGAGTCTGGGCCACAGCCAGGTGAGGAGAGATCTATAGGAAAGGGTAGGGCCAGATTCCAAATAAGTGAATCCACCTAGGGAACAGCCCTGGGATGGGGTGGGGATAGGACGGGGTAGAGCTGCAGAGTTCTGAGAGATGATGGAGTCCAATATAACTCAGGGTTCAGAGCAAGGATGCCAATCTTTCTTCACCTTTGAAAGGTGGCTATAGGAAGAAAGGCAGCTACAGGCACAGGAGAAAGGGCCTAGACCAGAAGTTCAGGGGACTTGGGTTTTAGAACCAGCTCTGCCACTAGCTAGTTGTATAACCATGGGCAAATTCTTTCTACTTCCTTCACTGTAAAATAGTGGTGAGGCTGGGGTGAGGGGAACGTGGCTGGGAGCTTAGGGGGAGGAAGAGATGAAATGATCTCTAAGTTCCCTTGTAAAATTAAGAAGGTCTATGGATCTCTTTCTTTGTTTTAGAAAGAGAGGGCAGGGAGTGTGGATAAGGGTTATCTTATAGACCTCACTACATGTTCTCCCAGGCTCATCTATCCCCCTATCCCCTCATCTCTAGTCTCAAACTCAACCTCATTCAAGCAAACCTAATCTCATTCCCCTTAGCCCTTTGCCCAGAGTCCCTTTTCAAAGACATTGATTTCTCTGATATCCTCTGATACTTCCCCTTCCTTCCCCTCCCCACTAACTGCTAGTGCCTTCCTTCCCTAACTCCCTTATATTTATTCTGAATATAGCTATACATGTACATGTCTTTCAGATAGAATTTTAGGTCCTTTAGAGTAGGGATTATATCATTCTTTGTGTTTATGTCCCCAGTGCCTAGCACATAGTAGGTGCTTAATAAATGCTTGTTGGTTAATTATCTAACCTGTTCTCTCCCTGCAGGGTTTGGGACCCCAAATGGTTTTGGAGTAGGTGAGGAGGGATTAGGGATGAGGGTTGGGAGACTGGACTCCCAGAGGGATGGAAGAGTTTAAAATTCTGAGTCCTGAGTTATCCTGTCTCTCTCTTTCTCAGGCCTAGGTGGTGTGAAGCCTCAAAAAGCAGGTAAGGTTTTCTCAGGATTTCTCTGTGATCTGTCCCCTTCTGCTGGTTTCTCTCTGTTGCTGCCTCAATCCCTCTTGACTTTCCTCTTTATTCTTACCATATCTTCCCATCTCCCTCTCCCCAACAAGGGATGAATTATACAGGTATAATTAACAGCTCTATCTCCCCTCAAACCTATCTTTCCACAGTTTATAGCAATGGACTGGGAGCTGGAACCTTTTCTGAGGTCAGGGCCCAGCAAGCAGGTGAGGAAAAGAGGAGAGGAGTCGGAGGTGGGGGGTAGGCTGGGCACTGAACTCTAGAACACTACCCCTAATTTCTCTCCAGCCCCCTAGACTGACCTTCCTTCTTCCTCCCTAGGTTTCCCTGGGGCCAGAAGTTATCCAGCCAATGGCTACAGCAATGGTAATTCTTAAATAAGAATGGAAATGTAATAGGGGAGCTTGAGAGGAGTATGAGAGGGGAGAAGATGTTCTCTGAAGGATTGGGCTGGTAGTGCCAGATGGGAAGATTATATTTCTGTATTTCCCAGGGGATAATAAGGGTAGAAATAAGCGAAAGTAAAAGATTCTCTAGGTAATGAGGCGGGAGAGGTTAACACCAGTCTCTTGCAGGATATGGAGCTGGGGGGCCTGGATACCCCAAATCTTCCCTATATGAAAATGGTAAGAGACAAGGACCCAGGGATGCAGCACCTAGCAAACTAGAGTGAAGAAGGTGGTAGTGCCTGAGAGATATGTGCACTTGCATAGTATTTTTACAAAGCTTTTTTCAGATCCATTCTCTAATTGGATCTAGATCTGGAAATAGTCCTATAAGCATGAGGAAAGGGAGACATAGAAAGGGAGAGCAACTCCCAAGGTCACACAGCAATTCAGGCAAAGAGTCCAGGTCTCCTGACTGCTTCCCAGTGCTGTACAGCACAGCAGGGAATCCTGGGGACAGCAGTAGGGGAGATCTTAGGCAGGGTCCACTGAGTTCTTCTCTTGTGTCACAGGTGGGGCCAGCTTCTTTGGTGCTCAGGGAGTCCCCTTTCTCCCTGGAGGTTCAGACTCTGGGGCCAAAACTGCTAAGTATGACTATGGAAATGGGGTAGGCGAAGGCTCCTACCCTGCGGATAGAAGCGCGCCAGGTAATATACATGTTTGGCTGGATTCTGGGAAAGTTTGCAGATTCCTTTTGTGTACGTGGGGTTCACAGGATTATGGATTTAGGGCTGTAAAGTACCTCAGATATGATCTAGTCCAATCCTTTCATTATTCAGATAGGAAAACCGAGGCCCCGAATGTTTAAGAGACTTATTCCAGATCCCATAGGTAGTAGGTGGCAGAACCAAGATTCTTTCTCAGGTCCTCTGACTCCAAATCCAGTCAGTCAGTCGATAAACATTAAGTGCTGGCTATGTGCCAGGTACTGTGCTAAAAGAGGCAAACGGCAGTCCCTGTCCTCAAGGAGCTTACAATCCAGTGACCTTTTCATTGCACCATATTTGTTGATTGCTTAGCGTGAAAACCTAAATGCCTGAGTCCTAGAGAGGAGCAAAGCTAGAAAACAGGACTCCCAGGTTATGTTCCTGGGGGTTACCCCCTGAGTTCTGTGCTTCCAGTCTTCCACAGATCTCATTCAATGCTCAGCTTAGGGGTTCTGCTGGCTCAGGGATGGACCCATTCCCCACTCCCTAAAAACATGGGGAGGAAATTAAAAGACAAAAGCTCCCTCCCCTGGGGGTGACAACCTGCCACCCCTTTCTCTTTCTGTCTCTGTCTCCTATGATAATGAGGCTAGCCAGACCCTTGGCATCTAGTTATGGGGAACACAGGGTCCAGTTTCTCCCCTCTCCAATCCATCCTACACATGCTACCAGCCTCAACTTCCTACAACCCAGCTCATCTTCTATCTCCAGCTGATGAGGTCTCTTTTGGAGGGAACATTCTATGGTTTCTGGGCTCCCTGTTGGATGAAAGGATCCAGATCAAAGCTGCAAATCTAAACTCATCCAATGGTTCTACTCTAGCTCTTTAACTTTATCTCCCACTAGAGGGAGACAATGGTATGGAGCAGATGAGTGTTGGGCTAGTAACACTGGACTTTCGAATCCTCTGACACGGCAGACAGAGGTTCTGAATTCAAGTCTCAGCTCTGTCACTTTTCCACTGGGTGACTCAGTCACACTGCCTCCCTGGGCCTCAATTTATTCCAGTTAAATAAGGGGATTTGGACAGGAGGGTCTGGTTCCTTCCAGTTCTACTACTCTGTCATTATGTAAGACAGGAGACTCGGGTTCTACGTGTTGCTTTCCACCACTGACTCTCCTTCAGCAAGCCCATTCCTGTCTCTGGGTCTGGGTCTGGGTCTTGGGTTCTCCAAATACCAGATAAAAGGCTTATTCTACTGAGTGACCCAGCTCAGAACCTCTGAGTTTGTTGGTGATCTTCTCATGGCCCCCAAACATATCAAGCTCACTGCCTTTGTCAGTCAGGCAGTTAACAAGCATTTATTAAGTGCCAGACGCTGTGCTAAGTTAACACTGTCCCTCCCCAACTTCCTCTCTAAAGCTTCTCCATCCTTCAAGTCTCAGCTCAAGCTGCACTTTCTCCAGTCACACCTCAGCCCACATTAATCTCCCCTTACTCTGTACTAATAATACTAATGGCATTTATGGAGCACTTTAACATTTGGGAAGCACTTTACATATATCATTTGATTCTCACCACAACCCTGTGAGGTAGGTATTACTATTATCTTCATTTTCTAGATGAGGAAACTGAGGCCAAGAGATTAAATGACTTAGCCAGGGTTACATAGTAAGTGGCTGAGGTAGACTTCCCAATTTCAAGTTCAGTAGTCTATCCACTGTACCACATAGCTGCCTCCTAGGACACTTATTATCTGTCCCACATTACTTACCACTTGTATATGTTGTCTCATGTGTACATCTCATCTTCCTAACTAGGCATTGAGTTCCTGAAAGCAGGAAGCACACTAGCTTCTCTTTCCATCCCCACCATAGTGCAGCTGAATTCCAGGCTGAATACACTAGGGAAAAGGCACTCTTCTTCTTCATATAGGACATACCCCTCACCTTCTTCTTCCCTCTTTCTGCCTCTTCCTGCCTTTCAGGTCTCTATGGTCAGTTAAGACCAGAGGCAGTCCCCGGGACTTACGGTAAGTGAGGAGACCTTGTATTAGAGACAACAATGAACTGGGCATCAGAAAAGAAGATACTTAGCTCTTCCACTAATTATCAGGATGTATAACCCCGCACATGTTCCTTTCCCTCCATGAGTCTCAGTTTCCTCCTCAGTACCAGAAGGGGTTGGACTCTAAGGTTTCCTCAAAGTTTAGCATTCTACTAAGCTGTTGATGAAAACTGTATTGTGATGTGTGGAAGAGTTCCAGAAAGAGTAAGACACTCTTTGGGTGCTCTTTCCCATGCTATCCAGAAAGGCCAAGGGACAGCTAACACTGCTCATTCAGTGACTATCTGCTGACCCCTCATAAGGAGAGTCCTCAGGGCCCATATCCTATTCTGGGATCTTAAAATTGAGTTGAGAATTTAGAAAATGAGAAGAAATGGTATCTGGATAAGAGGAAGAAGTCTGAAAAAAAAAAGAAGAAGAAGTCTGTGGGGATTCTCTACTTACTAGAGGTTATCTGTCTCCAATTTAGGTGGGCCAGATGTGAAGCACAGCTTCAATGGCTTCCTGGGAAATGGCTATGTAGGTAAGACTTCTTCAGGAATAAATGGTTCCCTTCCCTAATCTTTAGTACCACTGACCAGGGCCAGGCCAATGATTATTGGAGCTGTAGAAAATGGCCTCCATCTCAAAGAGCTCAAAAACTCTACCTGGAATTCTACCATTCATCCTGTGGTAGGTTATGCATTGCTAGGTTAAGGCCCAACGCTGCCCTAACACTTTTCTACCTTTGCAGGTCGCTGTCCTCCAGGGAAATGTTGAGCCTAAAGGGTTCCCTCCAATATCCCCCATGTGAAGATCTTCAGGGGAGCTCGGAGCCTAAGACCTGGCCACCTTACTGCTGTCAGGTTTTTTGGAAAAAAAACCAGGCTCCTTGGGAGGGGAGTCTCCCCTCTGCCCCATCAGGGTCTTTCTTTGGTCCTTTAACCCAGTCTTATAAGGGGCCCCTCACAGCAGAGAGGAGGAGGAGGAGATCAAGGGCCTGTTAATAAAAGATTTAAATTCACAAGTTTGGTGGTCCAGTGTGTTGATCTGGGAACTGAATGGCAGCAGGTAATTAGGACAGCTCTACTAGGAAGCAGAAAGATCAAAGAACTCAATTCTACTCCTGGCTTTCCAATAAATGAGTTATGTTGATTTGACCAAGTCATTCCCCCTTCTCTGGGCTTCAGATCCCAACAATGAGAATTGGTTTATCCTTCTTTAGAACCCAAACAGTTCCTTGGGGTATACCTCTGGAAGGAGCCTTAAGGGTCATCTCTAATCCCCTCATTTTACAGATGAGGAAACAGAAACTCAGAGAGGTTTGGTAACTTCCCAAAGGTCACACAGGCAGTAAATGGAAGAGGCAGAATTTGGTCTTCTAACTCCAAATCTGGAGCCCTTTTTGATGATAGTAATTAAGGCTCAAGGTCACTTCCTTCCTGAAGCCTTCCTTGATACCCCCAATTTGAGTGATCTCTCTTCTTATAATACTCCATTGCCCTTTGTTGCTGGGTCTCATTTAACCTAATACTTTCCCTTGTTCTATAGCTCTGAGGAACTTAACCCCATAATCAGTTTTATCCCCATTATCAGATGGCAAACTCCTTTAGAGTAGGGAAGTCACTTCATTCCACTTCAGACACCTAGTTAGGTGCTAGGCCCAGAGCAACCAAAGACAAAATGAAAAACAGTCACCCAAACAGAACTCAAGGAGTTCACATTCTCCTGGGAAGATACATTTATTCTTCTTTAGGACAGTTTTCTCATTTGTATAATGAGGAAGTTGGTCTAGATGAGCTCTAAGTTTCCTGGTTGTTGTTGAATACTGATCAACTCTTTGTGACCCTATGGACCACAGCATGCCAATACTGTCCATAGGGTTTTCTTGGCAAAGATACTGGAGTGGTTTGCTATTTCCTTCTCCAATGGGTTAAGGCAAACAGAAGTTAAGCAACTTGCCCAGCACCACAGGCCTAGTAAGTGTCTGAGGCAATATTTGAACTCAGGACTTCTTGACTCCAGTGCTCTATTCACTGAGCCACCTAGCTAAATTCTATAAACTTATGACTGTGCTTTATTTCTAGATAAATTCTATGTACCTGTGACTGTGCTTTATTTCATCTTTGTATCCACCCCTACTTTTCAGTGTCCAACAACACAAGGCCTTCAGTTTATTGAACTGAATAACAGGTGATTACAACAAAGGAGAAAGAATGTTGGCTTTGAATCATAGGACTTGGGTTCAGATGTGACTATGATTGCTTCCTGTGTAACCCTAGGCAACCAATCAACAGACACTTACGAAGGCATTTATAGGACTTCCCTAGTCCAGGTGAGAAATGATGATGGCCTGGGAAACATAGTGGCCATGGGGGCGGTGGAGGAGGTGGATTCTTCCACCTGACTTAACAGGGGATTGGATAGAGGGCACAGCCCGACCCTCGCATAAATGGGCAGGACGGAAGACCAAGAAGGATCGGGTGGGCAGCTAGGAGGAAAACCTACCATTCAACTTTAACCTCTGATCCAGGTCTAAGGCCCCTTCAAGCTTTAAAACAAATGACTATAAATAATTAAGGAGGCGGGGCAGGATGGAAAGTAGGAGGAGCTATATGCACGCCCTACTTTTTACTGGCTGCGGCGGTTTTGGCCGGCTTGGGTAGTTGCCATGACTTCGATCGCGTAGAGGCTGAGCGTCCTTGGCAGCCTGTCCGTCATTGGCCCCTGGACACGTGGCTTGGGGAGGCTTGCGTCCGATTGGCCGAGACTCGGGAGGGGGGAAGGAGGCGGCGGACGCGTGCGTGGCTGTGAGCGAGGCCGCGCGCCTAAGCCCCTGGTCTGCGCCCCTCCTCGCCCGGCCTCGGGCACAGAGACCCTGGCGGCGCTGCTTCCCCGCTCCCGCTCCCACCCCCACCCGCGGCTGTCCCGGCCCCGGCTCTCCCTGCCCCTTCCCGAGCAGCCTCAGCCGCCGCCGCTGCCGCTCCCACACCTGCCGCTGCCGGGCCTACCCCCGGGCTTGTCCGCCGGACCGCCGCCGGCCTCGTCACTGGCCGAGCGGCCGCTGCTGCCCGAGCTGCCGGTGCGGCCGTCGCCGCTGTCCCCCCGCGGCCCTCCGGGCGCCTACGTGGCGCTGCCGCCGCTGCCCGCGGAGGCGTCCGTACTTCCCCTGCCCCCGCCCCCGCGCTGTCTGACCTGCCTCGCCTGCCTCGCGGGCCCCTAGCCGCCCCCTCCCACCTGCCGCTGCCGCCGCTGCCCCTGGCCTCCGAGGGGCCCCGGCCGGCGGTGCGCCCCCCACGGCCGGGGCCCCTAGGCGAGGCCCCCGCGCAGCTGCTACCGCCACTGCCCACCCGCCCCACCTTTCTGCGCCTCCTCGCCCCGCCGCCCTCCACCTGCCCGGCGCTCCCGCGCCTGCCCCAGGAGCCCTTCCCGGTGGCCGCCCACCCCGCGGACTACCACCCACTGCCGGCCTTCCCCAGCGCCCCCAGCCCGTCTCTGCCGACGCCCCACTTCTTCCTGTCCCCACCCAGCTCTTGGCCCGATCGGGTTGCTCTGCAGAAAAATAGTCCCTGAGCACCTGGAGCTCCTGCCGATCCAATTTAGCCCGGGGTGCCATTGGCCTTGTCTTGTAGACACTCTGGACGAGTGGCGCTCGCTAGGTAGCCCTTTGATGGGTACAAAAGATCAGCCCCTCAGTCCTGTGTTGCAGACAGGTGGCTTGCTTCTTCGCCTCCAGCCAAGTCTCGCTGGCTTCTGCCTATGACCTCTGTGTCTCCCAAAGGGGTAGACCCCCCCACTTCTGGGGAAGAGACACAGCAGGTGGGTGAGTTTACCTTCATGTCTTTGTCTCTCCTCTTTGCCTCTTACAAAGACTTGTCTTCTGGTTGAGAAAAGTTGTGGTATCCTGGAATTGGAAATGACACTCAACTGTCCATGAGCAGTCCTGGGTTCTAGTTCTGGCCCTGCCATTCTATTGCTGTGAATAACCTTCACAGCAACTTACTCTCTGTGTGCTTCCCCATCCTACTTTGTAAGTAAAATGAAGGTATTCCATGAGTTTTAGGACCCTTTCTCGTATAACAGTCACTTTTCAGAACCTCTTAATTAGTTGGCAAAATACCGCATTGAAGGGATGCTTTTCTGGGCATTTAGGGAAGTGGTGATCTAGCACTGGTTCATTAATATAATCTTGTTAGATAAGCATTCCCCTTTTCGATAGATTCCAGACTAGTTGATAGGGGGATATAGTAGAGAGCAGCATACTCATATTTCAGCAAGGTTTTTGGTAGTTATAATATCTTGGGGGACAGGATGGAGTAGAGGACAGTACAATTAGGTGGGTAATTATACCCTGAAAGAGGTGATTGAAATATCGCTGTAAAATGAAGGTATTTATCTAGATGGCGTCTGAGGTCCTTCCATCTCTAAATCCATTCTGTGACATCTGTGATCAACCTGGAGAGAGGTATCAAAGTGGAGTACCCCATAGTTCTCTTCTAGATCCTGTTCTTTTTAACATTTTTATCAACAGCCCAAAGGCAAGAAGCTTGGATATTTAACACATCCCTCATAGAATTAGAATCTCAAAATACCCACCCAGCATGTTAAAGGGATGGGCCAAATCTAATAAAATAAAGTGGAATTTCAAATAAATGCAAAGTGTTATGCTAGGTTCAAAAAGAAATTCAACTATATACCAGGACAGGATGGAAGAGAGGTGGTTAGACAATTCATGTGAGAAAGGTGTGAGACTTTTAGCATTCCACACCTAGAGGAAGGCTGCATTATAGAATCATGGTGTCCAGAAGATGAAATAAGTCACTGAGATAGAATTGAAAGACAGGTTCCCCAAAGGAAACGTTTAGTCTCTAGGACTCTGGAGACCTGGGTTTAAATCTTGGTTTTGACACTTTTATTAGCTCTATGTACCCTTGAATAAGGGCTTTTAGATGCTTTACCTTCTCCAAGCTTCAGTTTTCTCCTTTATCCTCTTAAGGAAAGTGCATTGTAAACCTTAAACTGCTAAATGCTTATGAGTTGTTGTTGTCTCAACGCAGTCTGCCCTAATTAGCCTACACCTAGAGTATTGTGTTCAGTTTAGGGTAACACCTTTTAAGAGAAATGGTGACAAGTTGGAGTGTGTCCAGAAGAGGGCATCCAGGATGGTGAGACTCAAAACTATTCCATATAAGGATTGGTTAAAGAAACAAAATGCCTAGCTTAAAGAGAAGGCATTTGTGGTAGAGGTGATGATCACCGTCTTCAAGTATCTGAAGGGTTTTCTTGTGGAAGAGGGAACAGAATTGTTTTGTTTAGCTCCTGAGTGCAGAACCTGAGCTAGTGCTAGTGCCCCAGAAACAGATTAGGACTGTCCAAAGCTGAAATGGGCAGTAAGTTGGGGGGCTTCCTAGAGGGGATCCATGCTTCATGTTAGGGTTTGATTCATTTCACCCATTATTTACCAAGCCCTTACTATGTGCTAGGCCAGGGGTAGGGAACTTGTGGCCTTGAGGACACATGTGGCCTTCTAGGTCCTCGAGCATGGCTTCTTGACTGAGTCCAAGTTTGACCAAATGAATCCTTTTATTAAGGGGATTTGTTCTGTAAAGTTTGGATTCGGTCAAAGGGCTTCACTGGAGGACCCAGAGGACCACATGTGGCGTTGAGGGTGCAGGTTCCCCACCTCTATATGGGTATGTTAAGGCAAAACAGTCCCTGACATCAAGGAACCTATGTTAGGGAGAGGGAGTAATATGAAATAAGTCGGGAAAGATTAATTCAACCCGGTAATCTCTGAGATAACTTCCAGCTCAGATTCTTTGATTCCATATAAAATGTCTATGTTGGAAGGAGTATTAGACTAAGGTCCTTTCTAATCTAGCAAGTTCTAAGTTCACAGAATAAAAAAAGGACAAACATATTTACTGATTTAAAAAAAGGGGGGGAGGTGTTGAAGGGAAGCTGAAAACTATACTGGTGAATTTGACCTTTGTTCCTGATAAAAACAAAACGAAACAAAAACGCTAGGGGCAGCTAGGTGGCGCAGTAGATAAAGCACCGGCCCAGAAGTCAGGAGGACCTGAGTTCAAATTCTACCTTAGACCAAACACTTGACATTAGCTGTGTGACCCTGGGCAAGTCACTTAACCCCAATCCCCACCCCCCAAAAAAAGATTTCTTAGCAGGATGATGGGAAACATAGTAGTTAAGTGTGAAAGAAAAGAACAAACATAAAAACGCTAGGAAAAAACCCAGTGAATTTCTAGAAAAGCACAAATTGGTAACAAAGCCAACATTGCTCAGTAGTGTTAGGGGACTAGTAGATCAAAGAATACTTTAGATATAGTTTACCTAGATTTTAGCAAAGTAATTGATACAGTCTTTGATACTTTTTATTCTTTTGGACACAAATGGCACAAGATAAGCTAGACCAGAGGAGTCTAATTTATGTCCCCCAAAACTCCCAAGTGAGGCCTGAACCAGATTAAAATGTAATTGGGAAATATGTAACAAATAAAAGTACCATAAAACATAGAGAATGTTAATAGTGGTTTTCTAAATGAGTATGTGACACCACTGAACTAGACAGCTGTTTGGTGGATTCTGAAGTGTTGTAGAACTGCATGCAGAAGAGTCAGGTTTGCAGGGAGAGTGCTAACTGTGTGCGTGCCCGGCCCTTCACTGTTGAAGTTATTGATAAACATGTTACAAGCATAGATGGCATGCTTAGCAAATCTGTAGATGACACAAAGCTAACACATTGTCTGAATCCCTATTTTAAAAGTTACCAACAAGCAATAGCATTGGGCCAAGTCTAAGATAATAAAATTAAAAAGAAGTAGTTACCCTGAAAAAGATCTAAGGTTTTTGGTGGCCTGCTACCTCAAGAAATCAGTACTGTGCTATGGAATGGAGAACAACGACCATGATCTTGTGTTGTATGAAGGGGTGTCCTGTCCAGGACTAAGGAGGGGCTGGTCCCACCGTTCTCCTCTCTGATCACACCACGTCTGGGAGAGTTGGGTCCTTTTGAGTGCCATGTTTTAGGAAGGGCATTGATAACCTGGGAGGGTACATCAGGGTGAAGGAGTTCAACATCATGAAGGGCATTTCAAAGAACTGACTTGGGGGAATCACTCTCCTCAAGAATTTAAAGGGTTTTTTACCCTGGCAGGAAGAATTAGATTCTTTTGGCCTGGCCCCATCCTAGAGCAATGGCCCTAGAACCCTAATAAGCAGTGGATATAAATCGTTCAAGAGGCAGATATAGGCTTGATTTGAGGGGTGGGTTTCTAGCAAGTAGAGCTATCTAAAAGTGGAATTGGTTGCCCCACCCACCCTGATGAGAGGCAGCTAGGTGTGGAAGTGGCTAGTCTAAATGTGTCCTTAAGACATTTACTCAACCGTGTAATCCTGAGCAAATCACTTCATCCCCTTTAGCCTAGGTTTCCTTATTTGTGAAATGGGGATGATAATAATATACCTCCTTCCCAGGGTGGATGTGAGGATCAAAGGAGATAACATTCGTAAAGTACTTTACAAATTTTAAAATGCCATATAAATGCCAGCTATTATTATTATTAGAGGATGTCTTTAAATAAAGGCTGGATGATGCTATAATAGTTTGTTCCTTTTTTTTAATTATCAAAAACCATTTTGTGGATTATGAAATCATGCAATAATCACCACTTGGAGGCAGACTAGTTAATGGATAAGGCCCACATCTTAAGGCTTATAGTTTATACTTTGAGGAAAGAGTAGGAAAACTATAAAATTACTTACAAATAACATTTTAATGTCACTAATATTTTTTTAAAGTCTCATAATCTGTGTGACAGTATTCTTGAAGTTAGATCTTGAGTGAAAAAGGTTTGGAAGACCCATGATGAACCCAACAACGTTGCAGTGTTAAAGGATGCATGATACAGATTTATATATACAGGAGTAACATATATAAGAGCAGTGATCTTGTCTTTCTGTTGTGTGGCAGCTGGCTGCTATAAGGGACCTAGTGCCCCAAAAGGTGAGTCTAGAAGAGTCTTCTCGTCTTCTCCCTTCCAGCTTCTTTCCAAAGCATTATAAACATGTCCTTCTTATTCCTCAGATGAATCCAGACCAGGTGAAAAGTCAGAAGTTTGGCTTCTCTGGAAGAAAAAGATCCTGCCTTTGGTGTGACTGAGCCCAGAAGATCTAGTCAAAAGAAGTTCAGAATCCCTGGTTTCCATCCCCTAACTGGGGATGGCAGCTGACCCTCTGCCTGGTGGTCCTGAGTTATTAGTTCCATTCCAAATCCTCTCCTTCCTAAGTAGATGCTGCCCATGGCTTCTTTCCCCCAGACCCCTAGCCTTAGTGAAGCTTTATACCCCACCTTGAGCCAGAAGTTCTGAGCAGCAGCTGCACAGACCCTCCTGTCTCTGTGTCTACGCCACCTGCAGGAGCTGAGTCTGATTTCCTGCTAGGAGTGGCACAAAACAGAAATTCAGACCAATGTAAAAACCAGCCTAATAGTTCCTGGCTCTTGGAACAAAATGGGAGAGTTGGTCGAGTTTGCATAATCCACAGAGGGAGTTTACTAGTTAACCCAGGTGAAGAGGTGGGACTGGGAAGGGAAGGACTGAGGTCAAAGGTCAAACCAACTGAAACTCTTTAGGAAAAGAAAAGCCTGCTCAGTGAAGAATTTGAGGGAATCAGCCTACTCATTTTTCTGAGCCCCCTTAGGCAAGGCAATGTTAATGAAATCAGCTGAATGGAAGAAGGAAAGTATGGGGTCTTAGCTAATTCATAATGCTTGATGATTTCATCAGTCTCCCTAAGCCCTTCAAAAATTGATTGGGCTGCAACTGATAATACTATCTGGCCTAAGAAGCTCAGTGTTCCATCCAGGTTTAGAGTTAAAGGTTAAACAGTATTTATTAAAGTTCACAGTATTAAAGTCCCTAGTATTACATGGCACGGTTTTGCCTGTGAAGAGTTTATAATCAAGACAGGCTCAGCAAATGTGTCCCCCACCCATGGTCATATCTATTTCCTTTTCTACCATGAGGCAACCCAAATTGTAAAATTTCTGGTTTTAATGTTGGAAATTTACAACTGAATAAAGTCTTTGTTGTTTTTGTCCACAGGCAGCCTTTCCTTTTGATTGTTTAGAAGTAAAAATCATACTTGGGAACCAGGCACGTTTGTGCCCTAGGTAAGGTCTGAAGAGTGTTAATACTGTCTAATCAGGAACAGCACAGAATAAGCACTTAATACATGTCTGGATTTAATTTGTTAATGTGAGTTGTTAAATCACAAAAGAGATAGGTTCATGGCAAGCAGAATTTTCTGTCACAGAAAAACACACGTCATAATAAAATACCTTTGTTCCCATCCCCTACATAGCAAGTAGCCCCCAGGTCCAGCTTGTCTTCGCCTAGTCCCAGCTGTGCTTAATAACATTGTTTGTTCTAGGCTTCAGTAACTTAGGGTAGCTGGGAGAGCCACCACAACAGGAGATGAGGCACTTTGGAGATGGGTATATGTAATACTTTGAGTCAGAAAGAATCACTTAGAGATTGATTGGAAGCGCTGAAGACATTCTGAAGGAGGGCAGGTTTCTGTCGCAAGTGGGAAAGGCATGTCGAGTGTCCTAATTATGAAGGGAGTCTCGTTTCCCCGGAAAGGTCCTGTCTGAGCTTTCCTACAAGTCTCATGTGAAAGTAATGACTGAGGTTGAGACCTAGAGGTTTCATTTCCACTTTGGGGCCTGGGAATCCATTTGGCAACAATTTCCTATGGCTCTTTCCCATCTGCTTTCTCCCTCAGCAAAAGCAGGAACCCAGCCCCAACCAGAGTTCTTATCTTTTTAACCTGACTCAGATTTCTTGTAATATCCCAGATAGGAGCAGGCCCACTGGAATGAAGGAAGCTCAAAACATCATAGAAGGTCAGCGTAGGGAACTTGTTACCTAAAGGCAGAGCAAGGCCCAGCAACCCCACAGGTGCCTCAGTTTCCTCCCCTAGGAAAACTTACTAAACAAAAGGGTCCCCTCCCCCAATTCTTCTCTTTGGTGAGTCAGAGACCGGATAGGGGGTTGGGGACCTCCACAGTCCTTTGCATAAGTGTTAATAAGCCATTGAAATGGTAACTGGTCTGAGGGTGGCTCCCACCCCCACCATATCAATTGCATTCCATCCCCAAGCTTTCTCCTTTGTCTCAGTCCCATTCCTCTGTCTCTGGACTCCAGTTTCTAGTTTAACCCTTTCACACCCAGAACCACTCCCGGGTGATTTGCCTTTATAGGAAGGAAATAATGAAATATTGTCCCCACCCTTCCCCCAAGCCCTTTCCATCTAAAGTTTAGTATGGGAAATGGGGTGGGGTAGAAAAAGCCTAGGCCAGTCTGCTCTGGATTGCCTTGTAGCACTATTCCATTCCTTTCCCATTGTACCTACCACTGCATATGGACTACAAATCTCATTTCCTACCCCACCAATCCAAATGGTCTAATCTCCAGATTTCCCTTTTCTTAGCACCACTTTCTCCACCAGCCTTAAGGTTTAGTGAGAAGAGCACTGGGTTTGGAGTCTGGGGATCTAGGGTCCAGTTTTCTCAGTCACAGTTAGAACTCTAAGTCATAGGAAGATCAGAATTCAAATCCAGCCTCAGACACTTATAATTACTAGCTCTGTGACCTTGGGCAAATCACTTCAGATACGTTTGCCTGTAAAATGGGAATAATGGCAGCATCTTCCTTGCTGGGTTGTTGTGGAGATCAAATAAAATATATCTGTTTGAAGAGCTTAGCACAGTGCTTGGCACGTAATAGGCACTGTACAAACCCTCATTCCTTCCCCAACTTAGCTGGGTGATCTCCACGCTTCAGTTTCCTCAACTGCTTGAAAGTGAGAGGTGTGTAACACTTGTATTCCCCAGTTCATTGGGTTGTAGCGAGAATCCAATGAGGTAATATGTTCAGAGTGCTCTGTAGCCATAAAGTGCTCTATCAACGTCAGCTCTTATTCACCTCTGGTCAACTCCCTGACTCTCTCCTTTCTGTCTAGGGGATTTGGGCTGGAGGGAGGTGGGTGTCTTACCAAAGGGAGAAGGAAACTGAAATACAATTGGAGGGTAACTTCACTTTCAACAAAAGACCATCTTGAAGGAAAATAAAGGATCCCCAGTCCTCATAGTGTAGTACTGTGGTCTACACTTTAATACTTTAAAAGATGAGTGATTTTTTTTTAGCGTGGATGCTCCCCGAAAGCCTTCCTACCTTGGCAGGACCCACCAGTTTCTGCTGTGTTGTACAGTCTTCGAAAAATTTCAGCTTCACTTCTACAATAGGACCCTCAGTGAATAAGCTTTAGTGGAGTATCACATTTTAATTTGTAATATGTTCATCTGTGTCCAAACCTTTTGCCCCATTACATTCTTTGATATCAGGGACCATTTTTTTAAGATCATAGAATTTAGAGAAATGAGCTATTTTAGGAGGTAGAGGAGCTGGGTTCAAATTCTGTTGGGCTATTTGCTAATTCCATGACCTTGGACAAATCACTTAACCCTTCTGGGACGTAGTTTCCTCAATCCATACTGACCAGCCTAGGGAGAAGAAAGAATAGGTGTTGTGTCAAGGTTACTTATCAGAGGGCCAGGGGGTCACTAAGTTCCCGACTCAGAAAGAAGCTACTGGGCAATTTCAATCCCATCCCAATTCTCTCTCTCCAGACAGATAGCTTTCTTCCCTGAAAGTTAGTTGGTAAAACATTTTGATATTAGAGTTGAGTAGATTTGACAATTTAGGAAAGGAAGAAATAGAAAATTCGCCCTGACGAGTTGCCATGGCAATTACCCACCCCTGCAAACACCCAACAAGAGAGAGAAAAAAGTTGGTTGAGTCCAATTACTTGCATGCAACTTCCTGGCTGAAGGTTTCAGGACTTGAGCAGGGTGGGGGAAGGGGAGTGGGGTATTTACAAGGGTCACTGGGCTGTCTCCTGGAGCAACCAGGCAAAGAAGCCCTTTACCTTGAGTTGCACAAACCAGTGGGACAAGATTCCTGATTCCCCTTGGAGAAAACAGAAAATTCCATTGTCAGCCTCTCCAAAGGTAATCATCACTATCTGGTCTCTGGCTCCTCACTCAGCTCAGAAGGAGGCCCTGTTCATCCCAGAGGTGGTATTTATCTCAAAGATTTCACAGCCTCTTCTTATTACCTCTCATATTGTGACATACTGTGATGCCTCAAGTCTACTTTGATACATTTTTGTTGGAATTAAACCCTCTATCCCGTTGGCCTATCAGTGAAGACAGAGCAGTAGATTTGTATCCATAACGCAGCCTCAGAATGGTGTTATGGGTCACTTATTTCATCCTATCTCTATGAGGCATAAAAGGAATTATAGAGATGATCTGACATCCTTTGTTCTATGTATGTGCCCTCTTTCAGCTCTGACATCTATCTATGACAGAGGAAATGTGGTGTAATGGAAAGAGTCCTGAACTCATAGGCTCCAGGCAAGTCACTTCATTTCCCTGACCTCTGTTTCCTTATCTATAAAATGAAGTTAAACTAGAGGATCTTAGGGCCCCTTAAAGCTCCAGATTTATGAGGCTATGTCCTAGAGTTCCTTCTAGTTACAGGGGTCTATAGTTCAAATTCTTTCTGAGCTCTGTATTCTAATTCCTATTTTGTAGATGAGGACATCTGAAAGAAATTCCACAACTTCCCAACCATCACATGGCTGGTTTATGGCAAAGTTGGGACTAGAACCCAGGTCTCCTGACTCTTAGTGAAGGGCTTTCTCTGGCAAACTGTCCTGACCCCTGAGTCTTCCCTCTGTTTTGTCTTCTTCAGCTTCACCACTCCTGGTGATCTGTTTTTTTTCCCCTAAGACCTTTCTTCCAAACGTTTTGTCACTTTTATCAGAAGGCTCTTTCAGCCAGGTCACAGATGGCTGGCTCATGGAAGGAGGCATCATGGTATAATAGAGGAAGCTGAGGCTTTGAGCCAGAGAACCTGTCTAGAAATTCCATCTCTGCTACTCACTCTCTGTGTTATCTTAGGGCAGGTCAATGACTCTCTGGGCATCAGAAACTCAGAAAAGGAAGGGCCCTCAGGCCGTCTCAGCAAACCTATAGCAGAATAAAAATCTTTCTCCTCATCTGTCAAATAAGGGGCTTCCCTTCCATTTCTAAATCCCATGAGGATTATGGGTCTCTCTGTGGAGATAGAGGTGCTCTCCAGAAGTCTTGGAGGAAAGGGAACCATGAGGTACCAGGTACTGAGGGATTTGAAAGATGGAGGAGGAAGGTGACACAGGGAGTGAGGACCCTGGGAGGAAGAGTGAAGAAGGGCTAAATTAGGGCCAAGGAAAAAAGAATTAACTACCTACATACATAACACTTTAAAGTTTGTGTATCTCTCTCTTTTGGCATTTAACAAATGTTTATTGATCGATGGTCAATGTTCCACTTAAACATGAAACCTAGGCACATATATAATATACCACTGTGTTCTCTTTTGACCTTAACAAAACTCTACAAGGTATTATTACAGGTACCATCATCATCATCACTTTGTAGAGAAATTAAGGCTCAGAGATTAAGTGACTTATCTTTTCATAGAACCACTAAGTATTAGAGACAGGATTTGAACTCAGATCTTGATGACTCTCTAAATATTTAGTTGAGAATGGTGTTAACAGGAACAAGCTTCCCTTAGGCCTTTATAGGCTGTCCTAGAACTGCCAGAGTCTCTGAGATATTCTGTCATCCTCCTCACACCTCAGTTTCCTTCTCTCATTGGACTCCTTTCTCTAAGTCTGACACTTCCAATGGTCTTTGTAACAAAACAAGTTTACTTGAGGCCACCTGGGGAAAACAGGAGGAGCTTACTTCCCTTAGGGGACCAAGACACAGTCAAAGGGCAGAGCTGCTTCTTGGGACCCCTTGGTGGGGTTGGGTCACAGAGATGGGAGACCTTCCCCCATAACATCCCTCTCCCCACCACAGAACTGCCCCACCCCCTCATGGGCTTCTTCACAGGCTCCTTTGTCCTAGTCCCCTCCTTTCCCTATCTCTACAACAGACTCTTTGTCTACTTGGGGAGGGAGGGGGTTGGGGTGCCAGAGACCCTGGATGAGTAGTTTGTTTCCCACAATTCAGCTCTCAGTCCAACTAGAGGGGGGAGGGGAAGGCACACCTGAGCTGCAGGTGGGGGGGGGCAGGCTTTCTAGGCCGTTGCCCTGGTAATGCCACCTGAGCCTGGCGCCAAACACCTGTTGCCTGGGGAACAGATCAGGCAGGGCCCTTCCCCCGGGAGATGCAAGAGCCCTTGAGCTGAGACTGAGACAGATCAGATTCCCTAGGTCCTGGGGGTGGAAGGGAAACAGAAACTAGAAAGGGGGGGGCATGGAGAGAAAGGTGTCAGAAGAGACAGATACTGGGGGCAGGGGAGCGGAGCTGCTGTGAGATGGAGGGACAATTACAAAAGGTAGGAGGGGGTCAGCAGAGAGAAGACAGATAGGGAGGGGTGCAAGTTTCACGAGTCCCTTGACAAGTTGTCAAGAACCTAAAATTAAGGGGAAATTTAGGGGTCAAAGTTTAGATTTGGGATTCAAGTTGTTTGGCCTATTGCAATATGTTCCCCCCTTCTCCAACTCAAGGGACCCCAGGCTAATATCATCACCCCTGCCCATTTGTCCTTCCATCTATCTTTTTCTACATAGCTTTGGTGGTTCTCTGCTTATTACTTTCCCCTTTTCTTTCCTATACTGTCCCTGCACCCCACCCCTCCAATCTCCCCCACCTCTTCCACAAATGGTTCTCGAACCCACACAACAGCCCTGTGGGCACCCCCAGCTTCACCCCGCCTCCCACCACCTCCTCCTTGTTGCTGTGGTTCCCCCAATCAACAGCTCCCAGACTCCCACTTTCACTCCTCCCCTAGCTCTAGTCCTATAACAACCCCTGCCCTTGCCCTTCCTGCTCCAGGCACTTGAAGTGAAATCCTGGGGAGAAAGTCACCTAAAGGAGGAGCACCCTGGCTTGGGAGCAGACCCAAGGGGAGAGCTATCTGATCCCCAACCCTACAGGAAATGAGCATCAGAAACCTTCCCAGATTCATCCAGAACAGAAACCCGGACCAAGCAGGGGAACTGAGACCAAGCTAAGAAACGAACATCGGACGTTGGACAGCTTCCTGGAAAGCCAACAGGAGCGGTGGCAACTACAAAGATCTTATTACTTGGGATCTTTTTAGGTGACCAGGACCTTTCAGGTAGGGGAAAAGGTGGTTGGCCAGATACAGGGAAGGATCCAGTCCAAATGGAGATGCTTCTTATACTCTAGAAGAAAAAGAGCAACAAAAACCGAGATCCATCATTGGGGAAGGAAGTAGCCCAGTCTTGGACAAGGGGATCATTGATGTAAGTGAGTCCTCTATTCCTTTCCCATTGGGTACTAACAGCCTAGAATTGCACTGGAAGCTCTCTGATCCCTTTCTCCCAAGTTCGACCAAGGGTCATAAAGATTGAGAAGACCTGAGGGGAAGATGGCTTCAACTGGGCTGGAACTCTTGGGCCTGACTCTAGTGGTGTTAGGCTGGCTGGGGACTCTAGTATCCTGTGCCCTGCCCCTGTGGAAAGTCACAGCCTTCATTGGCAACAGCATCGTGGTGGCCCAGGTGGTGTGGGAAGGCCTGTGGATGTCCTGTGTGGTCCAGAGCACCGGCCAGATGCAATGCAAGGTGTATGACTCCCTGCTGGCCCTGCCCCAGGACCTGCAGGCAGCTCGGGCCCTCTCTGTCATTGCTCTAATGCTTGCTTTGCTGGGTCTGCTGGTAGCTATCACTGGAGCCCAGTGTACCACATGTGTGGAAGATGAGGTGGCCAAGGCAAGGATTATGCTGACCTCAGGGATCATCTTCCTCATTTCGGGGATCTTGGTCCTGATCCCCGTGTGCTGGACAGCCCATGCCATCATCCAGGACTTCTACAACCCCCTGGTGGCTGAAGCTCTGAAGAGGGAGTTGGGGGCTTCACTTTACTTGGGCTGGGCAGCTGCTGCCCTACTGATGCTAGGGGGAGGACTATTATGCTGCACCTGTCCCCCACCTCAGCTTGACCGGCCTAGGGGACCCCAGCTGGGATACTCTGCTGCCTCCCGATCAGGGGCCTCTGGTCTGGATAAACGGGATTATGTGTGAGACAGACTGAAGAACCAGCAGCCCCAACTCCAGACCCAACTAGGACTCTGAAAGTCACTCAAGGGCATTGACCCCATTCATTGGCCAGAAGGAATCCTGGCTCCAGTGCTGGACTTGGCTTACCCTAACTTTAGCTTCTAAAGCCTAAGCCAATCGACCATTTTGATCTTAAGAACTTTTACCCACGTTTTATTAACACTAAAGGAAATCTTATGTCTTTATATATACCCTATTTGTAACTACCTCCTAATCTGGATAGAAACCCCTGCTTCATTGTATCTTCATTGTATTTCTTCCAATACTGATTTCTCATCTGCATAAAAAAAAAACACACCAACCCTATCTCAAAAGTTTAACTGGGAATGGGCCCTAACAAGAACCTCTTTGTTTCATCAGTCCATCAAGCTCAGATCTACCCTCCACCTCCAAAACTGTTTTTCCTCCCAGAATCCAAATTAAACCTCAGCCATCAAAATGGCCCTAAGCCCTTGCCTCCTCCAAACCCCACGAGACATTCTAAAGTCCAAACCCCATAAATGGGCTTAGTCTTACTTGGTTTCAGTCTCCCCTTTGTGATCCTTTAGACCTTTACCAGAGCTTTGTGATTTCAGAGCAGAGTGCTCTTATATGATCTCACCAAATCTCATGAGACTGTTAGGGCAAGTATTACTTTCCCTGTTTTATAGAGAAAACAAATGCAGAGAGGTTGAGTGACTTACCGGATGTGCCCTAGGCCCCAGGGGAAGAGCTGGGTTTTCCAAGTCTTCTGCCTTCTCTAAGCTCCATTAATGATATATTGCTCTTCCACTCTCCTGAGTCAGATTCTGACACTTCTAGCCACAGTCCCCATGGAAAATGCAAAAAACACCTGGCCTGTCCTTAGAACAAAGTCGTAGATATCTCAAGTACATTTAGCCCTGGTTCCCACTTCTGCCCAGGCTGCACTCCCAGATCCACCACCAGCTTTTAGGCAAAGGTTGTACCTTGCCCAAAGACTTCAGTTTCCCCTCCATGGCTAGGAGCCCAGCTAGCTGGTTACCTAGTTGTCCGGACCCAGCAGCATCAGCTTCCAACTCTACCTACAAACAGGAATAAAGAAGTGCTTTGTAACTGGCCTCCATCTGATTTATATGTGGGGTTTTGGTGGGAGGGTAGGGGACAAAACATACTGTTTGCACAGGGAGGCCTGGTACCCCAAGCCCCAGAATACTACTCAAGGGTAATCTTTTATTTCTAATGTCAGGAGATGAGCCTTTGGACTGCATACCTGTGGAGTTTTTTCAGTCCTCTCCTCCCACCATCTCAGGCCTCCATGCTCCCTTTAGTTACCCCAAAGTCAAGCAGTCTCCCACAAACAGAGACCACCACCATTTAGCAAGACACATTTTATTCTCTAAAAATCTCAAACCATGGAAACTCCACAAAAAGAGACAGGGAGGGAAGGCACCAGCATGGTGAGAAGGTGGGGGAAGTATTTGCTGGATTCTGGATTAGGAGGAATATGTTAAAAGCTGGATACAAGAGCCAGCATGGAGATCACTTCCTTGCCTTCTGGGAGTCCAGGAGAATCATAGTAGCTATCACAGTTCCCATGGAGACCGAGAAAGGCTAGTGGAATCTTGGTGGTCCTGTTTTCCTGGGAGTTGGGAATGGCAAAGACAGAGCACACTGGAGAACTTTGCACTTGATAGGTTTAGAATTCAGTCCCACAACCAAAGAGGGTTCTAGCATTTCCAGAGAAGTAGCATAGATCTTTGTGGTATCCAGGAAAAAATGCTGGAGCTCTTAGGCAGCATCTCTGTAGCTACTCACCCAAGGATGTCTGGAAGACATCAGTAGCATCAGTAAAGACCAGGAAAAGATGTGGAGTCATGTTCTTGGCTCAGTCATCCAAGGGGTTTAAAAAAAAAAAGAAAAAACTAAAACTCTCAAGACTGACAGGGATCACCTGCAACTTCATCTTGACAGGGAAGATGGGGAAAGAGGACTTCCCTTATCTTAGGGAGTCATTTGTTGCTTTCTGCCCCTTTCCAGATTCACACGTAATTCTTGGTTGGGTATTCAGAAGGACCTCTGGAGCCCACGGGAGGAGCAGAAGCAGAGTACCGGGCCACATAATGGCTTGTGCTTCTCGAGTTGCCCGAGGGGCAAGTGCAGCACAGCAGTGACCCACCTAATATAAAAAGGCTTGCAGCTGCCCAGCCCACATACAGGCTGTGCCCCAACTCCCGTTTCTGAGCATCAGCCACCAGGGGGTTGTAGAAATTCCTGATGATCACATGGGCAGTCCAGCACACAGGGATCAGGACCAGGACTGCAGTGATGAGGAAAATGACCCCTGAAGTCAGTACGAGCCGAGCTTTCGGTTCCTCATCTTCTACACACGTGGTACACTTAGCCCCAGCAAGGTAGATCAGCAGGCCCACCAGGGCCAGAAGCAGAGCTACAACCATGAGGGCTCTAGATGCTTGGATGTCATGAGACAGGGCCAACATGGAATCATGCACCTTGCACTGCATCTGGCCAGTGCTCTGGACCACACAATTCATCCAGAGGCCTTCCCACACCACCTGGGCCACTACGATGTTATTGCCAATGAAAGCTGTGACTTTCCACATAGGCATGGCACAGGCGGCTATGCCTGATATCCAGCCCAGTAATGAAAGGATGATGCCCAGGAGCTGGAGGCCAGCAGAAGCCATGGATGCAGGCTTAGAGAAGACCTGCAAGAGGGGAGAGAGAAACATATTTTGGATTGGTAGCTTCATCCTCTTTGGCTTAATTCTGAACCAGTCCTAAATAGCTCACATTTAGGCTAACCTACCTTACCTAGTCAGTGGCTTCAAATCCCTTCATTAAACAAGGAGCCTTTAATAGGTAATCCCATCTATTGGATATAGCCTCCTATTGTACAGTGTGACAGCAAAAAGCTGCAAGAATATGGTGGAAAGAGCACAGTATCGGATGTTAGGATGCTTGGCTTTTAGTCCTCCACCTACCATGAATTAACTAGCTCTGTGACCTTAGGCAAATAACCTCTTTGAATCTGATTCCTCCTTAAGCGGGTTGTAAGATCCCCAAAAGATACCTCTTCCAGACATTTGGAAACTGGGAAATTAATAAACTGGAAACTTAGGGCAAGGATAACAGAATTAGTTGCAGCTTTCAAAGTTTGAAGCTTAGAACCTTGGAAATTTAAGCATGAAGACTGAAGGATAACCAAGGCAGGTCCATTCCTGAATTTTTCTATCAAATTAGCCTTATCACATCAATGAATTTTCCTCTTTGAGAAATCCCTCACTTCAGCCTCAAGCTTCTCACCTCACATTTGACCCCCAACAATGAATACATTTAATCCTCATTTCCATTGCAGAGTCCCAAGACTGTGCTCATTAAATTTCCCTAGTCTCCATTGTGGAAAGAGCCAGTGAAATCTGGGTTCTAGTTCCTACCCTAGGGGTAGTCATTTCTCTCTGGGCCTCAGTTTCCTCCTCTGAAGAATAAGGGGATTAAATGCCCAAGATCTCTTCTTATTTTGAAGTGCCATGCTCAAATTTTACTTCAGTTGTACCTCCCTCACTCTCAGATTTGGTTACTACTATTCCCTTCCCTCGAAAGAGACTCATAATTTGCTTTACAAGTGTTGCACCAAGATTTTTGTGTGTGCCTAAATAGATCTAGGATAGATAGGGATGGCCAGTGGAGAAGGAAAACTCAAATTCCACCTATTGTCCTCTATATCCTTTCCCAAAATAGATTCTCACAGTTGGAAAGGACCTCAGAGGTCATCTTGTTCAACCTCCCACCCCATGCTGGAATCCCCTCCACAATTGTCCTGACAGTAAGCCAGCTTCTTTGTGGGTATCTCCGGTATTGCTAAATCACAAGGCTGATTGGTTCACTCTGCTACTGTTCCCCAGAATCTTCCTGGATCTAAGTGTTTGAGATTTATTTGCCTCATTATAATTTCTACCCATCTGTCCTAATTCTACCTAGGAGAGCCACAGATTATGATATATATATTGAGCTTGGAGTCCACCAATACCCCAGGCTCAGGTAATTTTCCACATGAACTACAATCTGGTCCAACTTCCCCTAAACTGTATAGTTGTTGTTGTTTTTTAAATGCAAGACTTAAAAGTTATCCTTGTAAACATTTATCATTTTATTTTGAGCCTTGGCTGTAGGGGGCATTTCTCTTCCTTCCCAGCTGGTCACCATTGATCCTCAGCATTTTCAGTCCCTCTTATACAGACAGCACTGACTCTTCTACTTTGAACTAGGTTTAGAACTGGTACCAAAACAACATACTGAGACCCTCCCACTGCACTCACCCCAGGGCAAGACTTGGACACTCCCAGGTCGGCAGCTTAATTGACTTTATCTACTAAGAAAGACCTCCCTCAATGCCCCCTCCCCCATCAAGTTTCTCCTTTCACAAACAAGTGCCTCCTCCCCCACCCCAATCCTATAGAAGTTTCGGATCAAATCGCTTCTCTACTCAATAACTTCAAAGGCTCCCTACAGCCTCCAGGATAAAGCTCAAATGCCTTACTCTTAGATTCCCATACTCAAGGGCCACCACATCAACTCTAGCCCCTCCCCTACCAGTCCTATTGTTCATCCATTTACTAAGTCCCTACTATGTGCCAAATTTCCAGTGCTTAGGCAAGGGACACACAGAGATTAAATACTTGGTTTCAGCCCTCCAGGGAATTTTAAATCTGCTCTACTTCCACAAGGTTTCCAGGGGCAGGAATGTGTCACTCCCCTCCCCCAATTCTACCTGCAGAGGCATTGTAATATGGTAGTAGGATTTGGAGTCAAATGATCAAGTTCCTTAGACATTTTCTCTCTCTGACCTCTTCAGTTTCTTGCAAAATAAGAGGGCAGTGGGCTAGGTGAGCTCTAAGATCCCCTCCAGCTTGAAATTTCAGGATATTATATTAAGTATCTTTCAGGCACCTTCTGGTGCTAACTCCCCCACCATGAAGTCCTTTTTGATCCCCAAAAGTGAGCCTTCTCTTTACTCCTGAAATTTTATTCCCTATTATATCACTTCACGCTACCTTGTGCCACCATGATTTGGGTCTTTTTATCTGGTCTCTTCCTTCTCCAACCCTTCTTGTCAAATTAATACCTGATAATATTTCCTTCTCAAAAAATCTTCAATGGGTCCCCATTGCTTCTAACATTGCCAGACAAACAAGTCTGGCACTAAAGTCTATTTCCCCACTAGACACTTTTCCACTGACCGGCTAGCTCCCATGCCCGGAATGCACTTTCTTCCAACTCTCAGAATCCTTAAGTTTCTTTCAAGAATAGTAAACTGCTGGGGTGGGGTGGGGGGAGGGAACTCTTAGAGGAAACCGTTTTCTGATCCTTCTTAATTATTAGTTCTCCTCAAATTATCTAGGCTTTACTTACGAAAAGTTGAATTCCCTATAGAGAATATCCAGACCTTAAGAGCAGGGACTCAAATTATGAGAAAAGAACAGAAACAATTCAAAGCTTAGATGAAATTACAGATCGTTCCCCTTTTCATGTATCCCCAGCACATACCGCAGTCCTTACACGTGGTAGGGATTGTAACATTTGTTGAATATTGTGAAAATTGAAACTCTTTTTCCTTCCAACTTCCCCAACCTGGAGTTACAGCCCTTTGCATATAATTCACATTTATATAATTTATATATATATATATATATTTCACATAATTTATACATCAACTTAATTGACCCAAGGTGGGTAGCAAATCTTCCCCAATTTTATAAAGAAGGAAAGCCATCAGAGCTAGAATTTGAATCTAGGTCCTCTTGATTCCAAGACCAGGGCTTTTTCCACTATACACTAATTGAAAATGAAATGATTCAGCCCCGCAGCTCCCGCTGTGGTTCTCCTATGGAGTTCCTAGGTTCTTTCAAAGCTCAACTCAAATATTAAAAGTATTTTTGTCAATTATCCCAGCTGCTAGTGCCTCTCTAAAGTTACCTGCCACCTACTGTATATGTGTACAGTCTCTCTGATAGAACTAAAAAGCTCCCAGAGGGCAGGAACTGTTTCATTTTTGTCTTTATACCCGCAATGCCTGGCACATTTGATAAGCTTTATACATTCTTTTTCGAGTTGTTTTCTATCCCAGGGATTCCCTAGATTCCAGGCCTTGGACAAGTTACTTGTTCTATTTGGGCCTCAATTTCTTCATCTGTAAAATGAGGCAATTGTATTAGGTCATCACCAGTTTTTCAACAAACATTAATTGCAAGACACTAAGGTCCCCCTCTATACTTATTCCTAGTTTGGCCCTGGTCTTGGGGTAGCCCCTGGAGACCTGAGCCCCATTTCTAGGAAATTTCTTCCCCTCCACCCCATCTCCCGACAGAAGGGATTAACCCGGGGTGCAGTCATCAGGTGGTTTTACGGGGTCAGGTGTGGGAAGGGGACCTCATGGATCCTCCCACTCTACAGGGGTCGGAAGGGGCGGACCCCAGGCCAGAGGACAAGGATCTTCTCCAGCGGGAAGAGTGGCCCAGTCCAAAGTGTAGAGAGTAGGGGGGTGGCGGTGAGATGGGTTCGGGCCTTTTGTCCCGAGAGAGAGAGAGAGAGAGAGAGAGAGAGAGAGAGAGAGAGAGAGAGAGAGAGAGAGAGAGAGTGAGAGAGAGTGAGAGAGAGAGAGAGAGAGAGAGAGAGAGAGAGAGAGAGAGAGAGAGAGAGAGAGAGAGAGAGAGAGAGAGAGAGAGAGGAAGGTTGATTTTTCTGGAAATTTAGAGAAAAGATAAACACCTCCACTTCCATTCTAGGAACCACAAGGAACTGGGGAAGTCCGGTCTTGCTTCTGTCCCTTCGGGACCTGGGAATCCGAACCGTCTAGCTCTACTTCCATGGACGGACGACTAATGTCCTTCTGCCCTAAAGACTGTAATGACTTCACTAGGACCCAACCCCAAACATCTGATTCTTCCAACCTAGGACCAAGTCTCGGACTCTAGACCTGGAGGCTCCTCCACTGGACCCAAATAAAGTGGCTGTTCTAATGCTGAAACCTCGGCGTCCAGCTCCTAGCCTTGGGGGGGGTGCAGCCCCCTTTCTGGTGGGAAGAGGGCCAGCGTCCCAAACTCACCTGCCTAGGAAGCAACGGGTGCAGTCAAAGATCAGGATAGAGTATGGGGAAAGGGGGCGGAGGCAGGGGTCTTAAAGAGGCCGCGAATGCCCCCGTGACGTCACTGGCGACCCGCCTCCCCCAGGGAGGGGCAGAGACCCCTGCCCAGTACTCGAGCATCTGGGCTTCCTGAGAGATCCTGGAGATGGCAAACTAGAACTTTTCCCTTCTCTGAGTGACGAACCGCTTAGCTTCAGGCTATGAACAGAGGGCTGGAAAAAGATGTAACCGGTAATTGGATGGACCAGGATGCCTGGGTTCTGGGAGACGAAGGGGTTTGATAGGGAAGTCGAAACTTTGGGGGAAGGGTCACCAAACAACTCCAAAGCCTGAGTTGCAGGGATAAGAGTCTGAGAAGAGACTCCGAAATGACACTGGGCTCCCAAGACACCTGGGTTCATTTCGGGGAGCACCGTGGACTGGCAGCTGGGGGACTGGTCGCCACCACTGGAGGCGGGGTCCGGACTGGGACCGCCCCGGATAGGGTGGGCGGCGGGCGTGCCTCCCTGAATCCTTGTCCCGGCTCAGAACGGGACCGGCCTCGGGAGGTACACCATGGCTCTCGGACCGCTAGTGGTACTACTGGCGCTGACTGTGCTGAGATTGACTTGGGGGGAGCCAGCCTCAGGTAATGGGGTTGCCTAGCCAGGGAACACTGACACCTGTCCGGGAAGTGTCCATGGGCGGAAGACTACCCCAGGTAGTCCGCTGTGGGTGAAGGGGAAAAGTTAGGGTGGAAGAGGATGACTTTGGGGCACGCCTCCCCCAGCGTACTTCCGAAGCCGGGGTGCTGGAGGCGAAAGGAGACCCCTAGACTCTGCCCTACTTGGCTGATCGTAGGATGGAGGGGGGCACTCCACGTGGGCATCTCAGACCCGGACCGGTGAACACCCCGCCTCACAATGACTTCACGCCCCAGTAATGTGAGGGGGAGGGGTGGAAGGGGGGGGTTGTCGGCCCAGCTCCCGGGACTGAGTCACAGGCTGCTGGAAGGAGGGGGGGGGAAGAGTTGGACATCTCCTTTAATACCGCCGCCTCCCCCCTCCTCCAATCTCCTTCCCCTGTCCTGTGCTCTCCACCTCTATGGTGTCTCCAAAGAAGCCATTCCACCGAGCTTTAAGGACCCAGGCATCCTGCTTTCTCAGCCCTTCCAAATCTAGCTTTCAGAACCCGAAAGTCCTGCCCCCTAGGCCTGCGGTCACCTGTCTGGAATGTCGGAGGGGGGCGCTTGGGGGCTCTGATGTCTGGCTGGTCTGACTCACCAGAAACTAGAGCTCTAGTCCTGACCTCAACCCCCGGAATAGCCCTGACCTCTCTCTCCTTACCCCCCCCCCCACCAAACCATCCTGGGGAAGAGAGCGTAGGAGGTTCCTTCCCTCAATTTTCTCCCCTTTTTCTTCCCAGCACCCTCCCCCTGTCCTCAGGGCAGTTCTTGGAGCCCAGATCTGGACAAGTGCATGGACTGTTCCTCCTGTCCAGCTCGACCCTACAGTGACTTTTGCCCTGGCTGTGAGTGAAAAGGGGCTGGAGGGAGACCAGGAATTTTTTTGGGGGGGGAGGGAAGCAGGACAAAGTTTGAGAGAAGGGTAACAACGTTTAGGGTCAGATTTTTGGGGGAAGTAGGCTGGGGAGCTAGGGCAGCTTTTTTTCTAAGGGGGGGTAAGGTGGGTATTTTGGAAGCTTGTAGCAGAATTGTGAGTTTGGGACCTTCAGTGACTTTCTTCTTCCTCTCCTCCAGGCACCACAGCACCTCCGCCCCCTTTTCCTTTGCTGTGGCCAGTCTTGGGGGGTACACTAGGGCTGATGCTCATTTTAGGGCTCCTTTCTGGCCTTCTGGTCTGGAGACAGTGCCGACGGAAAGAGAAGTTCACCAGTAAGTATATCACCTCCCTTGTCCCCTTTAGCTTTATGTATGTTGTTACCTATAAGGGTCCTAATATTCCCATCAACTTGGCTTATAGCCCCCATTGAAGAGACAGGAGGAGAAGGATGTCCAGGCACAGCTTTGATCCAGCAATGGTAAGCCCCTTTATCTCTGCTAGCTTTGGCATTGACCCAAAGTCCAGCACACTTACCTCTACCCTAGACTAATCATGGTACTCTAGACTAACATTGCCACATAAAGCCCATTTCACTTCCTGGGCCTTAGATGGGGGGAGAGGAGAAAATGGGAGTAGGACCTTTCTCTATGATGATTTGTGCCCTTTTTTAAAATCCTCATTCATTCTCTTGGCCACTACTGAGCACCTACAATGCAATTTCTAATTCACTTGGCGGTAAGGGTGGGAGGGGAAGGATAAGGTATGTTTGCATAGAAATGTCCCTGACCTCAAAGACTTTACAATATTACTCTCTTTCTGACAGATTCGGCCTGTTCCCAACTTTGCCTAGTATTGAGGGGATCTCACCTTCTTGGCGTTCCCGTTCTCCAATGAGATTCCCCCCTCACACACACATTCTTCTCTGACTCTACATTTCTCTTCATATATCCAGAAGAGAAGTAGGGACTCAGACCTAGGGTCTTATCCTAGGACTGCTCACTGGCTGAAGAATGCAACATTTGCACAATTGGGGGATGGGGGGGTTTCCCCTCCCCCAACAATCACACTGCCACCTCCCTCCCCTGGCAGCACTAGGGGCTCTGAGCCAAGAAAACACCCCTTAAGTATAGGAGGACAGATCTAACACTCAGGACCTTGATTTCCAGTCCTCTCAAATGTGCTGGGACAAGGCAGCTGTATCTTGTTGGAGGGCAGGGTGCAGTGCTCTAACACCCTAGAGTAGGGGCTGGTCCTCTAGGGGAGCTGGCCCTGGGTTCTTCCCCCTTTGGCCAGCCCACAAGGTAGGGGAGATATTTATTTGGGGGAGCAAGGAGGGAGGGGGGAAGGGAGGGAATAGAACATGTATAAATAAAAGTTATTTTGATTTCAAGTTTGATTCTTAACTTCATTTCAGTGGAGAGGCAAGACTCCCATTCCCCCCCCCTTGATACATGGGTCTGAACTCAGTCTCCCTCTAACAGAGCTGGGCATCTCCATCCCCCTTTTTGGCCTGGTCCCCAACTGTTTCTTTTGCTGGAGCAGGGAAGAGTTTGTGTGAGTCAGCCGGGGGTGGGGGCGGGGCCCTGACTCACACATTCTCAATGTCTGGGCGGGTCTAGCCCTGACTCGCTTTCCAGGGAAGACTGAAAGGAACCCTGGCATCTGTCCCCTCAGGCCCAAACTCCCCAGACAGCTCCCCCTCTTCCAATAAAGCTACTTGCTTTTTACTGCCCACCAATTTTTATTTTGCTTCCAGAAAGACCCCCTGTTATCGGAGCCATTCCAACCCCTAAGATGTTCCTTACCCTCTGTTTCTCACAGTGAACAGTCTGGTTCTATTTCCTCCACCATCTCCTGGAAGTATGTGTAACAGACCTATCTCAAACCTGAGGGTGCTCTTCTCTATTTTTGTGTACAATATATGGGTGTCTAGACCCTCTTTGGTCTTTGAGTCTGTGGTTTCCAGAGAAGGCCAGGTTCTGCCCATTTCTACCTCATGGAGTTGAGGTTGGGGGCTCGGAGAGGCTTGAGTTCCTGAGAAACAGGGACAGTTGCTTGAGGTTCAGAGCTCCATTGCCTCCCCACTGTGGGGGTTTTGGTATACCTGGGGGCCCCCCAGTCTCAGCAGCCGAAGGGTTTCTGGGATTTGATTTCCTGGATATTGCCAGAGGAGTAGCTCTGAGTGAGGATTCCTAGAAGTAAAAATTGCACTCAGAGGAACTCAGTCCTGTTATAAGTCTTGGTACTTTCCCTCTTCCCCTTGTCCAACACTTACAGGGCCAGCAGGAGGCTGGGGCAGAGGACCCCAAGATGCTCAACTGAATGAAGAGAGTCTTCCAAAGGCCTGGAGGGAGGGGAAAGAGATGAAGACAAGAGCATGTTCAAAGTTAGCAGCTAAATATAACAGTGACACAGAAGAGGTGTAATTGGTCCTAGGGGGTAGCTGGAGCTAAGGCAGCTCTTGATTTGGGGTAGAATCCCAGAATTTCAGAGATGAAACTAGAGCCCAAATCTAGTAGAGAAGTTTAATAATTCAAAGATTGAGCACCTACTGTGTGAATGGCCTTGTGCTAGAAATTGAGGGGATACAAAAATGAATGATCCCCTCATTCTAGTAGGGGAAATAAGACAGACACAACTAATCAGGGGAAAATTTGATAAGTGTTTAATTGTGAGGAGGCAGAAGGAGGTCATTTCTGGCTGCGGAGATTAGGGTTCACAGAAGAAATGATATTTGTACTGAACCTAGAATGATGGGTAGAGCTTGAACAAAGACACAGACCAAATGTGGGGAGAGCAGAATTTTGGTTTGAGAAGAATGAGGAGTAACATGAAATAAGACTGGAAAGGTGAGAAGGCACTATCTAGAAAGCTTTGAATGGCTCAAGTAAGGAGTGTGGACTTTTATTTGATGGTAATGGGAAGTCACTGAATGTTTTTGGTTTGGCTTTTTTTTTGGTGAGGCAATTGGGGTTAAGTGACTTGCCCACAGTCATACAGCTAGTGAGTGTCAAGTGTCTGAGGCCAGATTTGAACTCAGGTCCTCCTGACTCCAAGGCTGGAGATCTATCTACTCCGCCACCTAGCCCCACTCCACTGAATGTTTTGAACTGCATATTGTCATTACCTGGTCATAGGTGGGGCTGGACTGCCCATGGAGAAAGCTACTGATGGGCCACAGTAGGGGTGATTATTTTCCAGGCTGAGGTGGGAAAAATGGGAAACCATGTTCTCCTCAGACAGGAAATGCTTCTGAAGAGAGTTCCTGGAAAAAGAAGCCAGGGAAATGGACTGGGAGAGAAGGCTTTTGGGAAGGATCACAAATTAAGAGCTAGAAGGCCTTCTAGGTGTCATCTAGTTAATTTTGCAAAGGAGGAGATTTGAGTACTACAGAGGTTAAATGACTAGGTGTTCTTTGACTCCAAATCTAGCACCTTTCATGGTACCATACAGTCTCTTAGGCCTGGGGTGGGGGTGGGGGGGAGAGTAGGAGAGTACTAAGAGCCAAGACCAGGGGTTGGAGAACCTAAGGAAGAGAACTCTGGGGTGTAGGGGAGATGGTATTGGTTCCTAAGGATGGGAGTTCTGGTGAATGGGGGGAGTGTAGGGGGAACCGTTTCCCTTCCCCTAAACTCACTGATCCTCCTCCAGCAATTGACTGGTGCTCTGGGGCTGAATTCCTTGGGGAAAGGAGCTGTGGAAGAGACAAGGTTAAAGCCTAAACTTTTTTCTCCTTCCCTGGAACCAAAATATTAGGGTTCTTGGGCCCAAGACCTTTTGCCCTTTAATACAAGACATCTAGGTTTTAGGTCTGGTTCTCTAATCCAGGTCATACCCCCTCCCTCTCTCCTTCATTAGCTCTGTATCACATTCCTTTTCCCTAGACCTATACCACGTAATCCAGATATGTTGGCCCATGTCCTCCAACCCTATGCCCCATAACCCCAAGCATAGTAATCACACAAGCATATCCTGTATTCTGTATCACAGGGATGCTGATGACCCATCCTTAGCTCTGCACCATCTAACCCTGGGAGTTAAGCCCCATCAGTCTCAATTCTGTATCATATATATGTGTGTGCTCATGTGTCCACAAAATCCAGGTATCCTACTCCCTATTCCAATATATAACCTAGGCATACAGGTTTTTCATCCCCAAATTTTACCATATAAGTAAGGGCTCTAGTTCTGAGTTCTCCAATATGGAGGTGTCAAACCCGAGTGCAGCTTGAACCAGGTTAAAATGTAATTGGAAAATACTTAACAAAATAAAAATACAATAAAACATTGATAATATTACATTTGAAAACTGGTAAGTAGCCCCCTATCTGAGCTTTACAAAGGAGCCAGATATCCAAGGTACCAGTCCTCAGCTTTGTAAATTAATTATATTACATCGGGATCCTGATACCCGGCCTCTACTTCTGCGCTGGGCAGTACACAGTTCCAGCAATAGGGGCCGGGCTCTCAGTGCTCACCTGGGTGCCCTAGAACCAGGATTACATTATCTCCTGTATACTGGCATCCAGTGTCCAGCTCTCTGTCCTGTACCCTGCGTATCCTGGCCGGTTTATAACTCTGGCATCTTGGCTCCTGGTCATCACCAGCTCTATGGCCAGGAAGTCAAGCATTCTCGACCACTGCAGCACCCACCCGGGTCGCCAGTCTCCTGCTGGGTTGTGCATACCGCAGGCAGTCCTGGCTCCCCATTTACAGCTCTGTGCCCTGTAACCCTGGTTTCTAGGCCCCTGGTCCCCGCCTCTGCACCCCATAACCCAGGCATCCGAGGTATCCGGGGTCCCGCCTGCCCCCTGCCCCCAGGGCCACACACCAGGCATCCAGGGTCCTGTCTGGCCCCTGTGCTTCCCTGGGGTCTTTCTGGGCCCCAGTTGGGCGGCCCAACTCCACGGGCGGCTGGAGGATCATGGAGTTCCGGGGACCTGCGGGTAACAGACGCTCAGATCCCGCTGCCCCGGAACGGCGGCATCGGGAGCCTCCAGACTCCTACGGCTCGGCCACCAGCTGGCGTGTCCGCACCTCCGTGGGGCGGGGACACTGAGCGGAGGAAGGCGGGCCCCACAGGATACCGGTGGGGAGGCGGTCGCTACTACGCAAGCGCGTAGTGCCGCCGGGCCCAGGCGCGCGCGGAGCGGAGACTTTGCGCAGGCGCGGGGAGCGGCGTGCGTAGGGACGGTGGGTCCGAGCCCGGCCGGCGAGAGGGGCCGATCGTGCGCGGGCACCGCGAGGAGTTGGGGTTGGGGCGTTGCGGAGGTTGCTGCGGGCCTTGGGAGCACTCACCACAGCAGCCCGGGCGCTCCTGAGGTCTCACGGAAGCCGGGGGCTCCATCCACGCCCGTCGTGGGGGGAGGGGAGGTGTGAGGGCGGAGCTCTGCCGCGCGCTTTTGGGTCCTACGTCACTCGTCGGCGTCCAAGGCCCTTCTGGGAGCTGTAGTCCCATCCCGAGGGGTGGGGCCGCCTTTCTCGCCACACGTCATTCCTTAGAAGGGGTCTCGCCGGCATGGTGGGGTGGGGGCCGGCGTCCAGGCCGAGGAAGCAGGCCAGACAAAAATGGCAGCCAGAGGGAAAGAGATTAGATGTCAGGAAAAACTTCTTGACACGGAGGGATATGAGTTGTGGTGTAAATCAAAAATCTGCCTCTCCAGAACGCCGCTTCCTGCGTCCCGCACTGCTCTCCTGGGGGAGGGGGCGGTGATGGGGGGTCCGCAGGCCCAGAGGACACTGGGCAGGGGTCACCCGGGGGGCAACAGTTGGCCTGGCTCCAGGCGTAGGGTCGCAAAAGGGCCCTGCCCTCCGGGTACCGGTTCTGGGATGTTGGGGGGTTGTGGGTGACGCCAGTGTCTGCTCCCCAGATGGAGGTCCAGCGGGCCTTGGAGCGGCTGCACATGACCATTTTCTCCCAGAGTGTTTCTCCCTGTGGCAAGTTCTTAGCAGCAGGGAACAACTACGGGCAGATTGCCATCTTCAGGTATAGGAAGGCAGGCAGCCAAGGCCCCTCACTCTGAAATCCCTTCCCAGAATAAAGTGGGGTGGCCCATCCTGATAGCTCGCCAGTCTCAGACTTAACCAACTGACCGGATCCCTCAGGGGGTTCCTTTTCATTCCAGAACCTTGATACTCTTCCCCCCACTTTTCAGCTCCACTAAATAATTTCTCTCCCCCTTTAGTTTATCAGCTGCTTTGAGCTCAGAGGCCAAAGAGGAAAGTAAGAAGCCAGTGGTGACCTTTGTAGGTGGGTGAGGTCGTCAGACAATTTGGATTTGGGAGTAGGAGTTAGGGTGATGTAGGGAAGTCAGGGGAGGGGCAGAGTGCAGGAATCAGAGGCAGGGGGACCTGGTATGCATTCATCTGAATTCACAATTTTTCCTTTAGCCCATGATGGCCCTGTGTACAGCTTGGTCTCAACAGACCGACATCTGCTCAGTGCAGGGGATGGTGAAGTGAAAGCCTGGCTTTGGGGAGAGATTGTAAAGAAGGTAAGGATGGAGACTATATATGCTGAAAAGAGTACTTCTTGGGAAGGCTGAGGAGCAAGATGCTTTGTGCCAGAAAGGAGTCTCTGGATCTTTTTTGTGCTCTCTCTCCCCTAAAGGGCTGTAAGGAAGTATGGAGCCGTCATCCCCCATACAGGTGAGCAGGCTTGTTGGGTTGGGGCCCTGCTAGTACTGTTTCCTCCTCTCAGGCTGACCCCATTTGCCCTTCTAAACAGGAGCAGCCTGGAAGTTCCTGAAATCAATGCTTTGCTGCTTAACCCTAAGGTATGATTCTCCTTTAGCCAGCTTTCAACCTAACCCAGTCTGGGCTCTTTTCTGATGCCTGTGTCCTTCTATCTAAACCCTGCTCCTGACTTGATCTTAATCCGTTCCATCTCCCTGTACTCTCTGACTTCTTCCTTGTTTTCATTCTCCTACAGGAGAATTCCCTTCTCTTGGCAGGGGGTGACTGCCAGCTTCATTCTATGGATCTGGAGACAGGGACATTCACAGTAAGTTGGAGCTAGGGTGCCTGGTCAGGTATGGAGAAGGAACAAAGTTGTAAACATGGCAAATGGGTGGATAATCTCTGTATGTCTGTCTGGACAAATTCCTAGGAAACCAAGTCCATGCTGTTGTAATGTGGCTCTGTCTTATCTTTTTACCACTTTTCCCTTCTACACTATCCCATGTTTGTCAGACATTTTGACACATATACCCTGAGTGTGTGTGGATAGATAGATAGATAGATAGATAGATAGATAGATAGATAGATATAGATATAGATATACTCTGAGGGGTTCCTGGTCTCCAAGGTTTCAAGGTGGAAGGAGACATCTTTCAGGGGTCTTAGCTGACTAGTCTTTGCTATCTTCCTCTAGCGTGCACTTCGAGGTCACACTGATTACATTCATTGTTTGGCCCTTCGGGAAAGGAGTCCTGAAGTGCTGTCTGGGAGTGAGGATGGCACAGTGCGTCTTTGGGGTAAGGGAGCAGTTGTCTGGAGGGTTGTGACTACAGACAGAAAAATTTGGTGGGGATGGACCAGGGGAAGGCTGGGGTGAGGAGAAACAAGAAGTATAAAAAAGTAATAAGACATACCCTGAGGTTCTAACTCTGTCTCTTCTCAGATCTTCGTACAGGTGAGGAGGTTCAGACCATTGAAGTTTACAGGCATGAGGTGAGGCTTTCACCGTTCTGAATACCTCCTCTTCTCTCCCCACCCCCCCATAAGCAGGTGGGTTAGCTAGATTAGCTAGGTGATGAAGTAGATGGAATGCTGGAGTCAGGAAGATCTGCTTTCAAATCTGCCCTCTGACACTTACTAGCTGTATAACCCTGGGCAAGTCACTTAACCTTTGTTTCCCTCAGTGTCTTCAACTATGAAATGGAGGTAATAGCATCTACCTCCCAGGGTGGTTGCAAGGATCAGATGAGATAATATTTGCAAATTGCCTAGAACATTGCCTGGTACGTAGTAGGTGCTTAATAAATGCTTATTCCCTCCTCTTTCCTCTCACTTCCCTTTCCCTTTTCTTCCCAGGAGTGTGCTCGACCCCAGAATGGGAAGTGGATTGGATGTTTAGCAACTGACTCAGATTGGATGGTGAGCAGCCAGGGGCTCTGGGGAAAAGAGTTTATGCTTTAAGTTCTCTGCAGGGACATAAGCAAATGATTGATAATTAGAGATGGATGATGATGACTACTGTTCTCTCCAGGTATGTGGAGGGGGCCCTGCTCTTACTCTTTGGCACCTTCGATCTGCCACACCCACAACAGTGTTTCCACTTAGAGCCCCACAGAAGCATGTAACCTTCTACCAAGACCTGGTGAGCCTTCTTCCTTTGTTCTTTCCCAGCTGGCTCATGGTTGCCTGCTGTTTAGGCTTTTGTCTGCTAAGTTTGGGCTTCCCATCATTTCTTCTCCCCAGATCCTCTCAGCAGGGCAAGGACCATGTGTGAACCAGTGGCAGCTGAGTGGGGAGCTGAAGGCCCAGGTACCTGGTTCCTCTCCCAGCCTGCTTAGTCTCAGCCTCAACCAGCAGCCTGCTGCACCAGAGTGCAAGGTAAGATCTCATAGGTCTTGAAGGAGGAGGAATCTGGGAGGCCATGGGGAAACTTCAGGTTTCTAGTCCTCATTATCTGCTTTCCTCTCTCGCAGGTCCTGACAGCTGCAGGAAATAGCTGTAGGGTTGATGTCTTCACTAACCTTGGATACCGAGCTTTCTCCCTATCTTTCTCCTGACCCTCCTCTCCAAACTTCCCCTCCCCACTTGTTAGGATCTACTTTGTTAATTAAAAAAAAAAGCCATTTAGTCCAGTTTGGTGAACTTTCCATCCACCCAGTCTCTCAGAAACTAAAGCCCAAGATTTCATATCCATTTATATATTACTCTGTTAGACCTTGTTACATAAATACCCTCTATGGATTCCCCCCCAACCCCTGCCTAGAGGAAGTTTATTGTGGTTTAGAAAAGATAAGCCTATGAGTATGCAAAATAGACACCTCTGTGAGCTCTGTTGGAGGGAAGAAGGTTTCCCCTCCCAAGCCCTGCCTTGATTTGGAAGCCTTCTCTGCTCCCACTTCTGCTGTGCTCCAAGATTTGGAGTCTTAATTACATTTTGCCAACCCATATCCCCATATCATTGGCCCACTTTACCCCTAGTATCCTGAACCCTTTCCAGAAAAGTCACCTCCAAGTCACCATTCCCATATGCAATCCAAGCACCCCCTCAGGTCCTTCTGAACAGGTTGGTGAAGAAGCTACCAGCCCCTGTCCCTCTTCCCAAGGAGAATTTTGTTGCCTCTTGGTGGGGGACTACTGGCTGGGAATTAAGCTCCTTTAGTCGCTGAGAATGAAGCTGCTGTCCAATCACCACCTGCATATCATCCTGGATGAAGAAGAGCAGGAGATAGGTCAAGTGGGGGAGAGCTATCAGCTTTACCACCATCCCCGCCCCCCAGCAGGGCTTTGCCCTTCTTACCTGCCAGGCCTCCAGTTCCTGAGACATTGCTACCTTCTGGTGGATGGTTCGGAGCAGTTCCCGAGAAAGAGAGTCCCGTTCCAAGGAGACTCGGGTCAGTTCCAGGGAAAGGGCCAAAGACCTAGGTGGAGAATAGATTGGGGAATCACTTAGAGCTCTCCCCATTTGGTTCTGGATAAAAACAAGAGACGGGAAAAGGTGTAGCAGCTATGGAAACAAAGTGAAGGTTTAGGGAACAAAATTCTGCAGCCAGGTTATTGACATCTAGGACTAGAACCTAGGGTTTCTGACTTATTTGGGGCCTTTCTAGAACACCAAACTGTCATGAGAATAGGGACATAGGGACAAATGGACTTACTTGTTCACAGCGTCATCCCGGTCAGAGAATGCCTTATTCAGTGCTGACTCGGGGTCTTTGTCTTCCCTCAGTTCCTTTTGTCTCTGCAGTTCTTCTCGGAGGGACTGCAACTCTTCCACCCGCAAAGATAACTGGGGGAGAAGACAGGAGAGACACTCAGGGATTTCTAACCCATAGCTGATTCTGTGCTAAGATCCAGGTGGTTCTCATTCTGATCTTCAAAGATTGTCTGATCCTCTTACCTCATATCCCTCAGCGCCCTGAGCCCTAATCCGAATTTAGCTCACCTCAGTTTGTAGCCGTTCCATTTCTACTTCCTTCTCTTCCAGCATTTCTCCAGGACTCATGGAAGCCCGCTTCCTAGGGGGCTCCAATCCTTCTTCTGGAGGAGACTGGGCTTCTGATGAATTGTGGAGGAGATTAGGGTTGTGGATCACCTAAAGAGCAAGGAAAAAGAATGGCCCTGGGCCTAAGAAAGGTGGCCAGCGCAGCCTTTCTAGGCCCATAACCTTTCCTTATTTTAGGCTGGTTGGTTTTTCATCAGTCTCCCAAAACCTCCAGTAAGAAAGAGAAGATGAATTTTCTTTTATCAGGGTAGGGCCCTTGACTGAAGTGAGATTTGGATTATGGCCAAAAATCTTGATGGAACCACCTCTAGTAGCATGTCCCTACTCAAAGAGACGAATGATTCTAGAGGAGAAATATAAGCATTAACTGAATAGGGGCAGCTAGGTGGGCACCTAGGGCAGCTAAGTGGTTCTGTGGATAGAGTGCCAGGCCTGGAGTCAGGCAGACTCATCTTCCTGAGTTGAAATCTAACCTCAGACACTCACTAGCTGTGTGGCCCTGGGCAAGTCACTTAACCTTGTTTGCCTCAGTCTCCTGTAAAATGAGCTGGATTAGGAAATGGCAACCCATTCCACTATCTTTGCCAAGAATACCCCAAATGGGGTCATGAAGAGTCAGACACAACTGAAATGACTGAACAATGAATGTAGCCTGCAATTTCAGAAGGCTAGGCATAGATAAAGTGAGTACCCAATGAACCTAATTCAGTAAGATCCTACCCAAAACCAGTTCAGTAGTACTTGTATCTGTTGAGTATTAACTATTCCCGCCTTGTGGTCTGAGGAATTGTTAGAAGGGGTAAGTCCTGGGGCAGCAAGGTGGCACAGTGGGTAGAGCACCAGCCCTGGAGTCAGGAGGACCTGAATTCAAATGTGACCTCAGAAGCATAATACCCACTAGCTATGTGACTCTGGGTAAGTCACTTAACCCCAATTGCCTCACCAAAAAAAAAAGAAAAAAAAGGGAGAAGTCCTGATCAGAGCTTACCTGGGGTGCCGCTGGAAGTTGGGGATCTCCTTCCTCATCTAGGCTGTGGGCAATCTCAGATTGCAGGGAAGCCCCAGAGACTTCTGAATCCTGGAGCCGGGATTCCTCCTCAAGCTCCGAGACGTGCTGCTGGAGCCGTCTGAGTGACACAAGTGCTTCCCTGGCTTCCGAGCGGGCTCGTTCTAGCTGATGACAGAGCAAAGGGACAATTTAGTCCTTCAGTAACCAAGTCTTAATTGCCTCAGCATCTTTCCCAACATGTCGCATCGGGTCCTACCCAATCCTTTTACACTTGCCTAATTGATTCACTAGCTCACTCATTCTAATAGCTTTTCCCAACCTTTTCAGACAACTTAACCTCTGTTTGCCTCAGTTTTGTCATCTGTAATCTCTTCTACAAACAAAACCATGTCTCCCTCCATCCTCAAAAAACCCTCATTTGATCTGTCCATCCCCACTAGCTGTTGTCCAGTGTCTGTCTTCAGTTTTATGATAAAACTCCTTAAGAAGGCTATCTACAATCAGTGCCTCCACTTTCTTTTCTTTACTCTCTTAACTCTGCACTCTAGCTTTCAACCTCACCTTCAACTGATCAGGGGCAGCTAGGTGGCGAAGTGGGTAGAGCATCGGCCCTGGAGTCAGGAGGACCTGAGTTTAAATCTGGCCTCAGACACACAATATTTCCTAGCTGTGTGACTCTGGGCAAGTCACTTAACCCCAATTGCCTCACTAAAAAAAAAAAAATTAAAAAAAATAAAGTTACAAGTGATCACAGTTGCTATATCTAATGGCCCCTTTTTCAATCTACATCCTTGACCTCTTGCAGCCTTTGACATTCTTTTTTTTTTTTTGGCAATTGGGGTTAAGTGACTTGCCCAGGGTCACACAGTCAGTAAGTGTCAAGTGTTTGGTCTGAGGCCAGATTTGAACTCAGGTCCTCCTGACTTCAGGGCCGGTGCTCTATCCACTACACCACCTAGCTGTCCCCATCCTTTGACATCTTGACCACTATCATTTCTTTGATATTCTCTGCTCTCTAGGTGACACTATTTTCTCCTGATCCTCCTCCTCCCTGTTTGTTCCTTCTCTGTCTCCTTTGCTGGATCTTCGTACAGTTGCCTACTAACTATGAGCATTCCCCAAGTCTCTGTCCTAGGTACTCTTTTCTTCTCCTTCTATACTATTTTGCTTGGTGATCTTGGCTTCCATGGATTCAATTATTGTGTCTACTCAGATGATTCTCAGATCTAGTCCATCCATCCCTAACTTCTCTCCTGAGCACTAGTTTTGCGTCTCCAACTCTCTATTGGATGTCTCATAGCCATACTAGACTCAACGTGTCTAAAACTGAACTTATAATCTTCTCCCCTCTCCAACTCTTCACGCTTCTGAACCCCTCTATTACTGCTGAGGGCACCGTCGTCCTCCCAGTCAGGCAAGCTCACAATGTAGGTGTCGTCTTTGACTTGTCCCCCTTTCTTACACCCCATATTCAATCTGTTGCCAAATCAAAACATCTCTCATATACCCACTTATGATGCCTGGATGATTGCGACAGCCTGCTGATTGGTCTTCCTCAAGTCTCTTCCCTACTCCAATCCAATCTCCACTTTGGTATCAAAGTGATCTTTCTAAAGCTTAGGTCTGACCATACAGGTCATGATACACCTTGTCACTAATAAACTCCAGTGGCTCCCCTTTAAAACCCTTCATAACCTGGCCCTTTCCTACATTTCCAGTATTCTTATACCTCATTACACTACATGTACTCTCTGACCTGGTGACACTGGCCTCTTTGCTGTTCTTCACAGGACATTCCACACATTTTCACTGGGTGTTCACTTTGCCTGGAATTCTCTTAGTCTTTGCCTCCCAGCTTTCCTGACTTCCTTCAAGACTCAGTTAAAACCCCCCGTTTCTACGAGAAGCCTTTCCCAAATCCCCTAAACACTAGTACCTTCCCTCAGTTATCTCTAATTAATCCTGTGTATTTCTTATTTGCATGTTGTTTCCTCCATTAGACTATTAGCTCTTTGAGGGCAGAAAATGTTTTTGCTTTTCTTTGCAACCCCAGCCCTTAGCATAATGCCTGGCACATAGCAGCCTTTAATGAATCCTTGTTGACTATATATAATAGATTGTTGAATAATGAAATAAATACATTCAGTCCCTTCCCATCTTTTCCTTCTGGTTGTGCCCAGAATTGGTAATGTTAGTCCAGCAGGTGGCTCCAAAAGCACTATGGGCAGATCCCCAAAGAAAGTGAATGCCAGATCCCGGACTCATGTTGGAGGGTGACACTGAGGTGCACTGGGATTCTGCTCTGTCTCGGATTCCTGCTTTCACCAAGGCTCTCTTCCCTTGGAGGAGGGCAAGTACAAAGGAAGGAGCATTGGATGTGAAATTAGGTTTCCTGCCCTGCTTCATAGGCTGGGTGTCCTTTGGGAAATCTCTGGGCCTCAAATTCCTCATATGTAATATCCCTCAGTGACCCTATGCCTTGTCTTCTCATTGGCAATGGCAAACAACATGAGGGGCTGGCAGTGGACAGAGTGGGGATGGCATTCCACTCACCTACTCCCTCCATCACTGCAGGCTTTGTTCTTGTCCCAGGCCCTCAGTGTCCGGTCCTGCCCTGTCCCGCCCTCACCTCACCCCTCCCCATACCAGCTCTGACCCATCACCTCTAGGCTGTGTTCCCTTCTCTCCCTTCTGAGAAGCAACAGCTCCTCGTGCAGGGCTTGTACTCGGCCCTGACCCTGATCAGCCTCCTCCTGCAGGCTCTTGATCTGCCCTTCCAGGTCCTGCCTCCGGCTCTGGAGCATCTGGTTCTGGGAAAGAGAGAGCTGGTGTGGAGATGTAGGGCTTCAGGACTCCCTCTTCCCCAGCCCCAGGGTCAGGACTGGCCCGGTACCTCTCCCTGAAGGCTTTCTAGTCTGGCCCTCATCTCAGTTCCCACCAGCAGCTGGGCCTGGTACTCTCCTCGAAGGGTGCTCAGTTCTTTTTGCAGTTCTTGTTCTGTCTGGGAGGCCTGATACATGTGTGGATGGGATTGGGGGAGGAGGCAGGGAGAGGAAGGAGATGAATTTGTGCAGTTCATCATGCGTTCTTCCCAGGACCCAGTCATCTAGCCTCTCCTCTCCTTCAGGGACCCAAGCATCGAGGTCCCCAGCCTCTTCTCTGATGACCCAGGAATCTGGCCCCCCACGACCCTGAGGATTATAGTTCTGGTTCCCGTTCCCCTCCCAGGATCCAAATGTCCAGCCTGCTAACCCCATGCCCTTAGATTGACCTGTGCAAGCTGCTCACTCAGCCTGAGGTTCTGCTCACTGAGTTCTGTAAGTGCTTGGGCTCGTTGGCGCCCACTGTTCTGCTGCTCTGAACGGCGCTCCCCAAGTTCAGCTCGAAGGGCAGCCACATCGACCTCCAGCTCCCCGGCCCGAGCCTCCCACTCGGCTCCACGGGCAGCCAGGCCCTGTCGAAGCTCATGGTTCTGCTGCTGTAGCCGCTGAGACATCAAAGCAGAGGGAGAAAAGATGAAAACGGGGAGACAGAAATAGAGACAGATGGCAACTTTGTAGGGGGCTGGAAAGGGGGAACAAGGCAGGAAGCTTCAGGACACTCCAGGGGGTTCACCTGCTGCTTCTGCTTGGGCCTCTTGCTTTTGGTCCGAAGCCTCCTCCTGCGCCGCCTCGGTCCCCCTGAGCTTATACCCCTGCCCATTGCATCCCTGTCCACCTTTCTTCTAGTCTCCTTTGGTCTGTGGTTCCCCTCTCCCAGCTTCTCTGGCTCCCTCTAATTACTCCTTTGCCCCCGCCCCACCCTATACCCCACGCCTCAGTCTCTCCTCCAAACCTGTCTGACTGGTGGGGGGACGCTGTGCCCCACCCAGACTCCTGTGGGCTGACCTGGGAAAGGAAGAAGAGAATCTGTATGCCCCTGTACTTCACTCTTTGGAGGAGGGAATGGGGAGCCTGGGGCTGCTTGGTCTGCTCCCATGTGCCTGTGAACTCCCAGGGCTAATAGTCTGATCTTTTCAAGGCTATGAATCATAAATCATCACAAGTGGACAGGACCTTGAAGACCAAGTCCAACTCCCCATTTTACAGAGAGAGAAACTGAGGCTTAGAGAGGAAATGACTCACCCACAGTAACAGCAAGTTAGTAGCAAGATGGAGCTAGAACCAGATCTCTTGCCCTCCCAGACTTGATCAGTTCCCACCACACCAGGCTGGTAAATCTTACTTCTCTTTTTTCTTAATATATATTTTATTTTTTCCCTCAATTATACATTAAAACAAATTTTCTAACATTTGAGAGGTTTTTTTTAAGTTTTGAGTTCCAAATTCTTTCTATTCTTTCCCCCCCCCCCCACAGATGGCAAGCAATCTTGTTTCTTGAAACCTAGCCTGTTTCTTGAAAAATATTGACCTCCTAACCATCCCTTCCCCTTTACCCCTCAGGTTAGAGACCAGCACAAGACTAGGCTCAAAATCTTGTGTAACTCAATAAATTCTGTGTGGGCAGAGCTCAGGTATGACTTATAAAGGAGGTGAGAAATAATCCCTTCCTATGGGATTTATATCATCCAAATCTTAGAATTAGAAGCAGGAGTGTACTGGTAAATATTTAACAATCAGCTCTCTGGGGAAAATTAATATCTGTGCACAAGCTTACTCTGCATCATTAATATTTTCTCCATTACTTAAATCTAGACAATCAACAAAATAAACTAAGCCCTGATTTGTAGCGTTTGTCAATATCCAAGGTATAAATAAAAATTTAACAATGAGGTCCTCTGAGTCCTTAGGAGCAGGCTATAGCACCCCCTCTGGTTAGAAGGGACCATAAGGATCATATGGTCCTGTCATGCGTCTCTTATTTTATAGATACAGGCATTGAGGCCCACAGAAGGGAAAGAGCTTGCTCAAGTTCAAACAGCCAGTTAGGGGCAGACCTGGTTCTTAGACTCTGGGTCTCCTGACTAACAGTTCAATGTTCTACTACTCCATTCTGTTTTGGGAGGGGTTAAGGGACAGGGTCAGTCAGTGAATAAGCATTTATGAAGTGACTCCTATGGGCCAGGCACTATGTTAAGTGCTAGAGATACAAAGAAAGGTAAAACACAGCCCCTGCCATCAAGGAGCTTATAGTCTAAAAGGAGAAACAGCATAAAATTACATGCAAACTAGCTGTATACAGGAGAAATTGGAAATGCTCAATAGAGGGCAGGTACAACAGAAGGAATTAAGAGGGATTGGGAAAAGCTTCCTGTAGAAGGTAAGATTTTAAGGGCAGCTAGGTGACACAGTGGATAGAGCACCAGCCCTAGAGTCAGGAGGACCTGAGTTCAAATCCAACCTCAGACACATAACACTGACTAGCTGTGTGACTGGGCAAGTCACTTAACCCCAATTACCTCACCAAAAAAAATATATTTTTTTAAAATTCTCTTACTAGAAGGTAAGATTTTAACTGGGACTTGAAGGAAGCTAGGGAAGCCAGGAGGCAGAAATGAAGAGAGAGAGCATTCCAGACAGTCAATCAAGAGATAAGAAAGGGATGTGTGTCTGTGGAGGGGTGAGAACCTTACTGGTCTGATCCCACATGTTGTGGAGTTTAGAATTATAGAATGCTGAGCTTTATAGCAGGAAGTGATCTTAGAAAACATCAGTCCAGTCCCTTTCTTCATTTTATAGGTGTGTGACCAGATCTTCAATAAAAAGGACAGTGACTTTACTAGGGTCATATGTGGCAGGGCCAGGCCTAGGGACTAAGTCATCCACTTCCTAGCTAAGGATTCCTACCTACCCAGATGAGGTCTCTCTGGGGCTTGGGCGTCAATCAGACTTACCTCCTCCCGTTCAGCGTGTTGGGCCTTGAGAACCTCCAGGCTTCGGCTCAGCTCCTCGTTCTGTTCTAAAAGCATCTTGCCCAGCTCAGCTGCCAGTAGTAAGTCCTTCTCTTTTCGCTGAAGCAGCACAGCCAGGTCCTCAGGCTCATCTTCTGGCTTCTCATCCCCAGGCCCCGGCCCCCCCAGGAAGGAATCTCGCCTCTCCAGCACAAAGGGGAAGAAACCATCATCCCCACTCGGGGAGGTGCTTCCTGAGGGCAGTCCTGAGGTGAACTGGGGACTACTGGGGGAGTTCATGCTTCCCCAAGCATCTACAGGGAGGAAGGGAGAGGCCAGCTAGAGAAAAAGGCCGATAGGAGCCCTCCCAGCCTCTAGCTGACTACCTCAGAACCTAGGTATCCTGGTCCCCAGACTATTCTCCTTCTTAAGATGTGGGCATCCTGATCCCCATTTCCCCCACTCCCGCAATGTCTAGCTCAACTCTAGAACCAGTGTCCTAGCTCCCAATTTCCAACTCTTCCCTCTCCTTAGTCACAGGTATCCTGGTGCCTAACTCTTTTCCCATTTAGGCATTCTGGTTCCTCAGTTCCTGACCCACCTGCTTCCTGATTCAGCATCCCTTCCCTCACTCCTTTCTCTTAACCCTCAAGTTATCCCAAGGCCAGACCCCAGAACCACCCTCAACAGAGTGGAAGCTTTCCATCCCAGACTTGACTTCCCTTCCTTCCTTCCTTCCTTCCTTCCTTCCTTCCTTCCTTCCTTCCTTCCTTCCTTCCTTCCTTCCTAATCCTGGAGTCAAATAATCCTCATGCTATAAAAGGTTAATGATATGTATGTTTGCCTAGTTCCCGTTACTGACCCAAAGGGTAACTGAGGCACGGAGGGAACCAAATAACATCTATCACCGTCAAAGCTTCCTAGAGCCCAAGCATTGAGTCTTTAATCCAAGTTTTTAGGACCCAGACATACGGCCCTTTCTTCCTTCTTTGGACTTAAATGTCCTCATTGCTGCAGCCCTACTTTGTTTGAGGCCCTGTACATCCCCTAGCCCTCTCTTACCTCTTAGGACCTACATATCCTGATCCCTCCAGTCCTGCTTCATCCCAAGACTCAAGTGCTCTGCACCTCCCCCAAACCCTTTCCCTCTCAGGAACCAAGCATTCTGCTCCTTAGCCCTCTCCTAGGACCTGGGGATCCTAGCCACCTTAGGCTGCTTTCCCCTTCCAGCATCCAATTGTCTTCACTCTTTGTCTTCCTTCCCTCTTGTGTCTCCCAGGATCTAGGCATCTGGACTCCTAGCCCTGTTTCCTCCCTTTACTCAGCTCCTAAGCAGGCTAACTGGTTGTATTGGGCCATGGCTCTTGGTTTCTGTTTACTTCCTGGGCCCCGCCCCTCGGGACCATATCTTAAACCTGTTCTGGCTTCCAGTTCCCAGATCCTGCCTCCCCCACCCTTTACCTTCTTCCCTTATTCTTTATGTCCTTGCTCCTTGTTTACCTTTGGTAAGGAGTAGAGGGGATAGGGAGGGCTAGCACCACCTATGCTACCCCCTCCCTCTCGATACCTCTTGACCTCTCTTCTTCCTTAATCTTGAACCTGTCAGCCCAGTTTCTTCTGCCTTTCCTATCTCACAGGCCCTAGAACTATAAACCCTGCTTCCAAAGTGCTCACCCTGCCCCAGAGCTTCCCCAACCTAGTTATTGTAGTCTCAGACCCTGCCCCTGCTACCACTGACCAGGTTCTCATGAAGTATCCCTTCCAGCAGGCGCCCCTACCCTCCCAAAACATGGGTGTCTAGGCCCTTAGGATCAATCTTTTCCCCTGAATTCAAGGCTCTATTCTCCTTGACCTTGCTCTCCATATTCCCAGACCTTGAAACCTTGGCTGTCAGGTTTAGGCTACATCTCAGGAACCAGGATACCTGGCCCTTTCAGTCTTTTTCTCCCAGAGCTCATAGCTCTTCCATAAACACAGCTGTCTGGGTCCCTAGCCTCAGCCTCCCTCTACAGACATGACCCATGAAGTTAGTTTCATAGTCCCAGTTCCATAGCCCCACCTGTATTGCTGAGGGGAAGTGAGGCCCCCTATTGTACCCGGCTTCCCATTCTCAGATCTCTCTCTCCTGAGCTCCGTCAACTTCTCTTCCGGGGGGTGGGGCCAGGTAAGCTGAAGCACAGGTGAGAGGGGTGGTGGCCTTGGGAGGAGCTGGGTGGCCCTCTTGTGGCTCAGTCCAATGCAGACATCTCCAGACTTAGAGTCAGTCCCATAGACACCAAGGCAGCTGGACAAAGCCATGGTCTCAGGCTGTGGGAGGCTTTGGCAGACAATTCACATTTAATCATTAATACCCCTAAGTGCTTATCCCTGAAGCAAGCCAGAAGAGAGAGAAGCTCTTCCCTGCCCTAGGGGAGAAGGTGCTGATCCTCTTTCAAATAATTAAATACCAACAGAGGTCAATGATTAAACACCAAATACTATAAAAATGCTTTCAAAAGTCTAGCTAGTTTGGGCAGTCTCTGCAGAAAATTCCCAAATTTAAATCTGTAACCTCTATCATTCCTTAGATGCAGCCCTGTATGTTTACTGGATATCTATACCTGGAATTCACATCAGCCCCTCAAACTTAATATCTCCAAAATTGGACTCATCATCTTAACCCTGCCCCAAAACCTGTCCTTTCCTCTGACTCTCCTATTTTTTTCTTTATTAATTTATTTTGATTTATCAACAATCATTTCCATAAGCTTTTGAGTTTAAAATTTTTCTCTCTCTTTCTCCCCACCTCCCTTCCCAAGATGATATAGGCTATACATATACATTCCTGTTAAACATATTTTCACATTAGTCATGTTACGAGGAAGAATTGGAACCAACAGAAGTAACCACAAGAAAGAGGAAACAAAACAAAACAGAAAAAAAAAAAGCAAATAGTATGCTTCAATCTGTATTCAGACTCCACAGTACTTTCTCTGGATGTGGATAGCATTTTCCATCATGAGACTTTTGGAGAAGGGCTAAGTCTATCAAAGTTTGGCTCTCCTATTTCTATCCAATGGTATCACCAACCTCTTAGTCATCCAAGCTTGAAATTTCATCTTTGTTCTTCACTCTACCCCTTTTCTCCTCTCCCCCTCCAAAAAACCAAACCAAAACAAAACACCTCAACTCCAATCAATGTATTTACAGTTGAAAGAGCACAGACTCTGGAGTCAGAGAACCTGAGTTCAAATCCCACCTCAGTGATCTAGGCCAAGTCACAACTTACCTGGGCTTCAATTTCCTTGTCTATAAAACAAGGTGGTTGTACTGAGTGTCTCTGGAGGTCCCTTCCAGTTCATCTATGATCCTGTCACAATAATTCTTATTTCATTATCTGAGGTCAACTCCTCATCACCAGTCTACTGGACTACAGTGATAGCTTCCCAACTGGTGTCTCTGCCTCTAGTCTTTGACCTCTTCAATCTCTTTTCTGGTGTTATGTGCCAGTCACCTTCCTTATGCATAGATCTAAACAGGCCACTCCCCTGCTCAAATACTTCAAGATCCTTCCCTGTTGCTTACTAAATGAATTCCCAGCTCCTCCACCCTGACATTCAGGGTTCTCCAGAGTCTAGGTCCAATCTCCCTTTCTAGCCTCATTTTGGGCTGCCTCTGGGAGCCCAGCTCTGCCAAAGCAGATGGTTCTTGTTTTCCTACATGAGCACTGTCATTCACTTTCTGCCGCTCTAAACCTAACCCCACCCCCACTCCCTTCCTGAAAGTCCTTGTTGCCTCTTCTCAGCCAGCCCAATTTTGACTGTCATTTCTGGCCCAGTTCACGTCCTAATCTCCTTTAGAAAGGTCTTTCTGATACTCACGCCGACCTCTTTCTCTTCTGAACCCCTGTGGCCCTTAATGACTCTGTCTCTCTTTCCTTCTCTCTTCATCCCTCTCTCCTTTTTCTCTCTCTGTCTTTCTGTCTGTCTCTGTCTCTCCCTCTCCCTCCATCTCTCCTCTCTTTTTCTTTCCTCTTTTCCCCCTCTCTCTTTCTTTTTCCTCTCCTCTCTATTTTTCTCTCCTTTTGTCTCTTTGTCTCTGTCTTTCCTTTTGTAACCTCTTGGTTTGGGCATCTTAGAATCTTCTCACCATCAAGAGAAGAGATTTTAAAATCAAACAATTTAAATGTGAGGTGTGTTTTGTGCCTAGGAAATCAGGTAACAAGCAAAATTGACCAAACCCCATATTGCCTGAGTTGTGAGGGGGAAAGGCACCTCACAATTACATAATTCCCTTTGTCTGGGAAGCAGCCTTTATGTTGGGGAAGAGGAGACTGGTTCTGATTTTAACACAGCCACTGAGTCAGAGTGTAATCAGCCTTGGACAGATCACTTCTTTTCTGAGTCTGCTTCCTACCAGATGAATTGGATTAGATTATATCTAAGGCACCTTTCAGCTCTGATATTTTAAAGCCCCTTCCAGGTCTAACATTCTAGGATTAATTATCCCTAATTAATTCATGGGAATAGGGCAGTTAATTGAGACCTTTTAGAGGGGAAGTGATTTGGCCACAGGCACATTGTGGCAGAACTGGACTCGAACCCAGGTCCCCCACTTCCCTTCCAACACTACCCAATGCATTGAACTACCTTAGTAAATATACTTTGGAAGATTAACAGGAAGGGATACCCTAGAACTTTGAAAGATGGCAAATATGATCAGTTTGTGAGTCCCTGACCCCTAAACTGTGTATGTAATAATTTTCAGCGGGAAAAAACTCAACCCTAGTGTCTGCACTAATCACAACGAATGGAAAGCTATTTAAATTCTTTTTTTTTTAAAGGATCTGAGTATTTAATTTATTAAGGAGCTGAGGTCTAATGAGTGGTGAAGTGCAGGCACCAAGGGTAGACCATACCTGGATTTTATCAGTAAAGGAGAAGAGAGAATGAGAAGGATGGTAGCTGAAGGGAGTCAGTCAGTCTCATCCTTCCTGCCCTTCCCTCTTTCACTCCTTTCAATTTCTTCCCTGACCAACTCCATTAGTGGTCATGATTTGGCCCTTCCCCCCACCTCTTTCCCAGAAACACTTGGTTTGTCAGTATTGATCTGGAATGGCCAACTGGCAGGAGAAGCTGGGGACCCACGTCTTGGGGAGAGCTTAGGGAATTCGATGGGAAATTGGGAGTTGGTGGACAGGCTATCTGAGAGAGAGGGGTGGTGCTGAGGATAAAAATCTCTCTCTCTCCTCTTCTCTTTCTCTCTTCCCCTTTCTTCCTCTCCCATCCTCTTCCCTCTCTTTTCCCCCCTCTACTCCCTGTTCTTGTAAAGCAGAACTAAGTCCTGGGATGGGGATTCCCACTGAGAGTGGGCAGGAAAGCGGAGGAAGGGAAACTGAGAGGACTTAAGAAATCTGGGCCAATCAGGGGTAGGCAGAGATTGGGGAGATAGGGAGGGGTATAGCTATTGAGGGCACCCAGGGCAGAGAAGAGATTGAGAGTAGAGATGTCCCCTGAAGGAAGAGCAGAGCCACACCCAGTGTCCTAACTGGGGTAACTAGCTCTCAGAAAAACCCTTACTTATCCTGCTGAGTTTCTTGGTAACAGAAAGGTTAGACTTCTTACTGGTTGGGGGATGGGTAGAAGCATGGTGTCTCTCTAGCAGTCAGAAAATATATTTGCAGTCCAGGCTAGGCAGCTACTGGACTTGTGCGATCAGCCCTGGGGAAGTCACTTTCCCTTTCTGGGCCTCAGTTTCCATCTCTGTAAAAATGAGGATAAGCTTTGTCCTGTCTACCTGCCTCATAGGACATTTATGAGACAAAAGCTGCAAGAACTCTTATGGTTTACTAGGTACTAATAGTACTGATAGACAGTCATCCAGATGGGCAGATTCAATTCTGCTCAGTTTGAAGACCCAAATTATTAGTCCTGTCTCCACCACGAGTTCTGTATCTGTTTTCTTCTGTAAAATGGGGAGGTGAGGCATGGATCAGGTGATTTTTAAGAGGCCATCTAGCTCTCACAATTCCCTAAGTGGGGCTGCCTTTATATTTGTGCACCTGAGGTCCCGTGGTGGGTGCTGAGAGGCAGTCAGAGCTACTAGGACTTGGCCTCTTAAGAAAGCTCACAGCCAGGTTGGGGGGAGGGGTTGGGACATATACTTGTGTAACTATGCCATCCCTGTCCCAGCCCCCTTCGATACAGGTCTCTCTCTGTACCTTGGGACAGGGGTTGCAAGTAGGACAGCATAGGACACTCAAGTAGGAGAGGTAGCCACAAATAACAATCACCCCTCAGCAGGGGGAGAGAGATACTATCAGAGGCTTGGTAGAGAGAATTCCTCTCAATGTGTTTATTGAGTATGTCTAGGGGAGAAACTGTGGGTGGGATCTGCGACAGGGAGAGAGAACAGAATTCTCCCCTTAGCCCAGCCCTGGGCCTTCCCTGGCTCTTGTATACATATGCCTGTCATATCCATCACCTTGACTTTATTTCTGTGGTCCCTTCATTCAGCTTCTTTTTGTCTCTCCCTGTCCCTCTGTCTCTGCCCTTCTCCTCCTGTCCACTATGTCTATGCCCTATTTCTCTCTAAGCCTTCTCATTGTCTCTGTATTCAATTTCTGTTTCTCTAACTCTGTTGTTTCCCCCTCACCCCTTCCTCCATTCCACCCAACAAATTCAAGAACCATCTTGACATGACTAATTACGACATGAGGTAGAATGTAACGAGGTCCAGGCAAAGAGCTAAAAGAGCTGTGAGATATTTGAAGAGGAAGAGAGTACTTTCAGATGAGTTTGGGGCTAGAGGCTGGGGGGAATGGCAGAGGTTTCCTGGTGGGGGCAGCACTTGGGGGAGGTCTCGAAGGAAGCAAGGGAAGGATTTCAATAGATGGATCAGAGTAGAAAATGCATTTTCTCTTTCTCTTTTTTCAAGTGCTCCCCCTGTCACTCTGCGTGTCTCATTTGCACTGTATGGACAGTTTCAGACTGATGCTGCCAGACCACAGCCAGAGAAGCAGGAAATGATGGGGCAGCAGGGCTAAGAGAAGCCTAAGATGTGTCCTGGAGAATGAACACTCCTGAAGGAGGTACCTTTAAGGGAACTCTAAGATAGGGAAACCAAAGGGGAAAAAGAGATGAATGGTTCTCTTCCACATTTTTCTAGATGCCCCGTTTCCGGGAGTGGGTGGGTGGGGTGTATGAGGGGCAGTGCTGGTACTAGGGAGTGCTGCTCCGCTCTTAGTATCCATTCCCTAGGCTCCATCTCTACCTCCCCCTCCCTGCGCTCTCTGTCTCCCAGTACCTGACATCTTCAGACATTCTCCCTGGCTAATGGTCGACCCTCCCCCCCCTCCAGGAGCCTAGCTTTTCCAGCCCCTGATTCTTTCATCTCCTCCGCCTTCTCTCCAAGCTTACCAGCACCCCAAGATCCCTTCCAAATCCAAGATTCTGTGCCCTAGCCCTCCTGATTTCTAGTGCTTTTCCCTCCCTCACTTTATTTGCTCTTCCTCGGGTACTGCAGCGCCTATTCCTCCAATTCTCTTTTCCAGCCCTGGCCCCCAGCCCTATTCCCTCTTCAGCTATGCCTCTTCCTCCAAGGGCTCAGGCTGTCGTCCCTTTATTGTTTCCTTTATTCCTAATCTCTCCCCCCCAACCCCCAGCCAGGTTCAGCCTCAGCCTCACTTTTGAAGTTCCTAAATCACTGTTTACCACCAGCAAGGGAAATTGAGCCACCTCACTCCACCCCTGGGCGATGCTGTAACCGCCTTGCCTCGCCCCGCCCCATCCTCCAGTGCACTGCCAGTTCGAGGACCCCCTCGGTGTCCAAGGCTTTTCGGACCCCTCAGCCTTAATCCTCTGGTGCCCCAGAGACATCATCAAGGTAGTACCCGAGTCAATCTCAGCTGCCTTCCCAGAAGAGCAAGGCACGGCTTGGCTGGGTGGCTCCCTCTCTGACAACCCCTCTTCTGCTTCTAGGCTGCCCTCTTCTCCTCCATCACTCTTTCCTTTCCTCTAACTCCAAGAGCCTGGCCTGAGCCAGGGTCATGTGGCTGCGAGAGCGCCCTATCCTTACCCTGCTCCTGCTACTACTGCTGTGGTTCCCAGCCTCAGCCCGAGCGCCGGAGCCCTCCGCCCAGGACGTCAGTCTGAGCGTGGTGAGTGCCAACTGGAGGACAGGGCACCAGATTCGGGGGCTGGGGAGAGGGAAAATGGGGCCTGGTTCACCAGGGTCTGGGCTGAGGGCAAATGGAAACTGGGGTCCTTAGACGTGAGGGACCGGTAGACGGCGGGGTGGTGGTGGTTGTGTGGAACGCACAGAGGCAAGCGCAGGTGCAAGTACAGATCGTAGAGGAGAGTCCCGGAGGGTGGCCGAGGTCCTGAAGTGTACAGAAGTGAGTTGGAAGTTAGGACCTTGGGGTGTGAAGGGGCAGAGAGGAGCCACGGCTCGGGACATCTGGGTCAGTGAGGAGAGGAGAGAGAGAAGCTGAGAGTCTGGACGCCAGGGTCAGGGATGGAAGAGAGAGGCCTGGGAGCCAGTCTTCAGGAGGATATTAAAAGTGAGCTGAGATCTAGGACCTCGGGGAGCAGAGAGATAAAAGCTAGGACCTGGAGGGGAGAGAGGGAAGTTGGGGGGCCCGGGACGTCTCGATCCAGGAAGAAGAGGGAAGCTGAAGCCCTGGACCCCGGGGTCATGGAAGGGAAAGAGCGAAGTTTGGGGAGCCAGGTGGAGAGAGGTGGACTGGGATTCCTTGAGTCTGGAGGTATCTGAGGTTGGCACAGTATTCCAAGAGATAAGAGGGGTAAGAAAGGATATGGGGACCATGGTCGGGGAAGTGAGGGCTACATTCAGCAGACAAGCGTTGAGAAAGCAGGAAGCTTAGGATGGCATGTTAGGATCCTCGGGGTCTCTGATCCTTGCTTAGAGTTAGGTGAGGGTGAGGGAGATGTGGGGGTTATCCTCAATTCTATCCTTGCTGATTGTCGAGATCGGGGATCGAGAGTCTCCCAACTATTGGCTTGCTATTGCAAGACTCAGAGGCTCAGGATTCTCTAAGCACCGCTTCTCCTTGCCCCACCCCGACCCTCCCTTCTCCGTTAAGCCTTTCTTTTTCGTGGTCCAGGACTGGCTCACTCGCTATGGATACCTGCCTCCACCCGACCCTGCTCAGGCTCAGCTGCAGAGCCCAGAACAGCTTCGGGACGCAATTAAAATCATGCAGAGGTTTGCTGGGTTGAAGGAGACCGGCCTCATGGGTAATGAATGGTCATTCCCTTCTTCCCAAATACTCCTTGCTCCACTCCTTCCCCAGCCCACTATCCCATGGGAAGGAAATAGAGACTATCCAAGGGGAAAGGGAACAAGCATTTATTAAGTGTCTACTGTGTACCAGGCCCTGCTGGGCTCAGTATTTTCTAAATAATGTCTTATTTAATCCTCACAACAACCTGTGAGGTGGGCGCTATTATTATCTCTGTTTTATGTTTGAGGAAACTGAGACAGGGAAGGAGAGGTTAAATGATTTGATTCTCTTCACACAGCTAGTAAATGTCCCAGGATATCCCTGCCCTAAAGCTAGAGGTCCTGTTCAAGTTATATTCAACAGATCCTATTCTTCCATCTCAAAACAGGCTGTCATCCCTTACCTCCTTCTAAGTCCAGCCCTCCTATTCTTTTCAGGTCTTCCTTGTAGCCTCCAGCCATCTTCAAATCTGGTACCTGGCTATAAGGGAAAACAGAAGGAGCAGGAGGTCTATCATGCTCCTAGTTCCTTTGTTCTTTCTGGGCTCCACATCTCAGGGCTACCACAAAGTTCCAAGGCCCTCAGGGACTCAGGGGACAGGGATAGGACTGGAGAATCCAAAACAGAGGTGGCTCTTTCTCGGTGACTGGTGTTATTGCTGGTTGAGAGGTCCACAGAATGAGGTGGAAGGGCAGCCTTCAGAACAGACTAGGAGATGGAGGGCAGGAAGAGAAGGATAACACTGATCTAGCCAGTCTTGTTCCAATACCACCTGCCACTCCCTCCTACCATCTGCCCTTTTGCTCCCAGACAGTTATCAGTACTGATATTAGAGCTCCCAATTCCAGGGGCTGCTTTCCCTCTTTATGCTCTCTCATTACCAGCTCCTAGGGGTAGGGCTAAGCACCTATCCATCCCTTTGACCTTTCATGTCCCATCTCCTTTCTATTTCTTATTTTTTTGGTTTTTTGGGCAGTTGGGGTTAAGTGATTTGCCCAGGGTCACACAGCTAGTAAGTGTCAAGTGTTTGGTCTGAGGTCAGATTTGAATTCAGGTCCTCTGACTTCAGGGCCGGTGTTCTATCCACTGCGCCACCTAGCTGCCCCTCCCATCTCCTTTCTAGATGAGGCCACGTTGGCCACCATGAAGAAGCCACGATGTTCTCTGCCTGATGTTCTGGGAGTGGCTGGGTTAGTAAGAAGGAGACGGTATGCCCTTACAGGCAGCTTCTGGAAGAAGAAGCAGCTGTTCTGGAGGTGGGTTCTAGACTCTATTCTTTGATTTCTCATCAGCTAACTAGTCTGTTTTAGCTGTCATGTACCCCCTGAAGGGCTCTATAGTGCCTGTGGGTTGGCATTTAATTCACCTTTCTTCTTCTGCAAAGCCTTACTATTAGATTCAATGAGTTCAGTGCCTGGCTCAAAATCTTTCCCTCCAATAATGTACACAATTGGGTATGGAAATCTATTCTTACCCTACAGTAAAATAAGGGACGAAGGGGACAAGAGAGCAGGGGGATGATAGAGGGGAGGGCAGGTTGGGGTGGGGATAATCAGAAGCAAACACTTCTGAGGAGGGACAGGGTCAAAAGAGAGAATAGAATAAATGGGGATAGGATAGGATGAAGGGAAATATACTTAGTTTTTCACAACAGGACTACAATGGAAGTGTTTTGCATGACTACACATCTATAACCTGTATCGAGATGCTTGCCTTTTCAATGAGGGTGGGTGGGGAGGGAGGAAGGGAGAAAATTTGGAACCCAAAGTTTTAAAAACACATGTTAAAAAAAATCTTTCCCTCCTTCCCAATTCCTGTCCTCATACTAGGGCACTTCAGCATACATACTGATATTCCCTCAAATTCTCTATCCATTCCTCATCTGATTTATTTCCCATGAACTATTTCTCTACATACAAAGATAGTCATATCCTTGATTTTGCCATCAGTCACAAATGCATCACTTCCATGTCCATGAACGCTGGAATTCCCTTATCTGATCAAAATCTTTGGTACTCTGCCTGTCCCTGTGCCTTCCAAAACCAAACCCTGTTTGTTAGTATCATGACCTTCAACCCCTTTGATCCCTCAGTCCTCTCTCAGACACCAGTTACCACCACCGCTGCACCAGCTACATTCTCATCCTTTCCCCATCTTTCCCTCTTGGTGACCTAGTTCAGCACTACACTGTCTCCACATCAGTCCCTTGCCTTCATTATATAATTGATCTTGCCCCACCGAACAAGCACAGTGGTGCTGAACTAAGGTCAAGAAAATCACAAAACTGGGGCCTTTAGGTGGCACAGTGGATAGAGCGCTGCGCCGGGAGTCAGAAGGACCAGAGTTCAAATTCAGCCTCAGACCAGACGCTTGACACTTACTAATTGCCTTAAAAAAATTAATTAAATTAAAATTTTTTTGGGGGGGTGAGGCAGTTAGGGTTAAGTGACTTGCCCAGGGTCATACAGCTAGTGTCAAGTGTCTGGTCTGAGGCTGGATTGGAACTCAGGTCCTCCTGACTTCAGGGCCGGTGCTCTATCCACTGCGCCACCTAGCTGCCCCTTAAATTAAATTAAATTTAAAAAATGGCAAAACCTTGCTGAATCCACTACCAGTTTGTGTTAGATAACCTCAGCTGGGTCCTCACTGCTGCAAGGCAATCCTTTTATGCCTCCCTAAACTCATTATCCCATTCACCACATCTTTTCCAAACTTTTTCATTCCTTTTCCAAACTCCCATGGCTCCTTCTTCCCCTTCCTGTTCAGCCGAGAACTTATTTGCCAGAGATATCTCTTTCCTCCCTTCCTCCTCATCTCATAGCACCTAGATGCCTTCTACCACTATCTTCTCCTCTTCCTTCAACCCTGTCTTACATAAAGAGTTGGTCTTTTTGCTAGCCAAGGCTAACCCCCTTATATGCCCAAGTTATTCCCTTCCCTCCTGTCCCCTCCAAAAGGTTGCCTCCTCTATCACCCTCACTTTGTCTCTTATCTTCAATTTCTCCTTGTCTACCTATGTCTCTACCATCTTCAAAAAACCCCTCATTTGATCCATCTGTCCCTGTGAACTGTTGTTCCATATCCCTCCTGCCTCCTGTGGCTTCACTCCTTGTGAAGCTTGTCTACAATGGATATCTCCACTTCTTTTCTCGCTCTCTTTTTAACTCTCTGTGGTCTGGCTCCAACCTCATCATTCAACTGAAAGCACTCTTTCCAGTTACTTGGGATCTTTTAATTGCCAAGTCTGATGGCCTTTTATCAATTCTCATCCTTCTTGACCTCTTGCCACCTTTGACACTGTTGATCACCCTCTTCTCTTTGATATCTCCTTCTCTCAGGTTTTCAGGACACTACACTCTCCTGTTTCTCCTCCTAGCTGTCTGATCATTCTTCAGGTTCTTTTGCTGGAACACCATCCAGGTCATGCCTGCTAACTTTGGGTGTCCCAGAGGATTCCATCCTGGGCCCTCTTTTCTTTTTCTTCTCTACTATTTCACTTGGTGATCTCATCAGCTCCCATGGATTCAAATATCATCTCTATGCTGATGATTCTCAGATTTACTTACTTAGCCCTAACCTGTTTGTTAACCACCAGTCTCAAATCTCCAACTGCCTATTAGGCATTTTGAACTGGAAGTCCTGTAGACATTTTAAATTCAATATATCCAAAGCTGAACTCATTATCTTTCACCTCAAATCCTCTCCCTTTCCAAACTTCCCTATTACTGTTGAGAGTATAAGTGTTTCCCTACTCCAGTCCATCATCCACTTTGTTCTCAAAGTGACCTTGCTAAAGCCTAGGTTTAACCCTGTCCCTCTCCTCTGCAATAAACTCCAGTGGTTCCCTCTCTGGTTGGTACTCAAAGACCATTACCTTCCTCCTCTGACCCCATCTTCTTACACGTTTTATCCAACCACATACTCTTCAATTCAATGTCCTTGTTCCTAAAACAAGACCTTCTATCTCCCAACTCTGAGCATTTTCACTGGCTGTCCCCCATGCATGGAATTTTCTCCTTCTTCATATCTGCTTCTTAGGTTGCCTGGCTTCCTTCAAGTCCCAGCTAAACTCCCACCTTCTGCAGAAAACTTTTAATTCTAGTGCCTTCCCACTGTAGATTATTTCCTATTTATCCTATATATAGCTTATTTGTAAGTTGTCTCCTCTGAAATCTTTAAGGTCAAGGACTGTCTTTTACCTTTCTATGTCTCTCCTGTGATTAGTACAGTGCCTAGCACATAGTAGGTGCTTAATAAATGTTTATCGAGTGGCTGACTGGGCTTCTCCATCACTCCTCCAAGTCACCAGCACATCACTGTTTTAATTGGCTGCCATACACTCCTCCCCTTAACACTAGACTCTCTTCTCTGGACACCAGGGTTCAATCCTTCCCACAGGGCTCTGCCCTCAGACAAGAGACTGTTCGGAACCTGATGCACTATGCCCTGGCTGCCTGGGGAACTGAGGTGGGGATGACATTCCAGGAGGCTGAGCCCAGGGTAGGAACAGAGCCGGAACTGCTCATCGACTTCGCTAGAGCCTATCACAAGGACAGCTACCCCTTTGATGGGCCTGGGGGCACATTAGCCCATGCCTTCTTTCCTGGGGACCACCCCATTTCTGGGAATACCCACTTTGATGATGAGGAAGTCTGGACCTTGGGGAAAGCGGTATGGTCTTCCTGGACTCCCCCCTCTTTATTCCTCAGACAACCCCTATTCCATTAGAGACCAGTCCCCTCCATAGAGACATTTCCCTTCCCCTCATTCTCTATTACATTAAACAAGAGTTTGCTGAGTTCCTGCTTCTCATACTATTCTGCATGGGCCCCCAGGGTGGAAGCTGAGAAGGAAAGAGCAGTGGCTAATTTATAAGAAGCAGAAGACAAGACCTCTGGTTTCAGGAGGAGTTCAGCTGGGTTGGGAAGATATAGCACGCACAAGAAACAATGAAAGAACAGCAAAAGACTGTGCGTGTGACTATGGGTTAATTTCTAACGACTGTTTCTCTGATGCACCTCCCTAGGCTGGGATGATCAAAAAGGCTTTCCAGAAGAAGTAGGACCTAAGTTAGATCATGAAGGATAGAGAGGATATGGAGAAGATGAAAGGAAGGAGGGAGGTGTTCTAGGCAAGGGAAAGATAAGGGGGGCAGGTTGGCTAGAGGAAATAAAGCATATCACTGTAGCAGCTGGGTAGGGCAGAGGGAGGGTCTTAAATGCCAGGAGTTTAGATTTGAAATCAGAAACAGAGAGCCACTATAAGTTTTGGAACAAAAAAGCCAAGCAATATTTCAAGAAGATTCATCTTAGCCAGGGATGATCTCTTCTGCAAATTGCATTTTTTCTTTGCTTGTCTTCTCCTTTTTTTTTTTTTTTGGTAGGCAATGGGGTTAAGTGACTTGCCCAAGGTCACACAGCTAGTGTCAGTGTCTAAGGCCAGATTTGAACTCAGGTCTTCCTGACTCCAGGGCCAGTGCTCTGTTGGACTTCTCCTTTCTAGAGCCAGCCAGGTGCCCACATCAGTCCTCCTTTGCCTAGAGGATTGTAGGTTAGGATCATCATGAGGTAGGGAGAGGGATGGACCAGTCAATCGATCATCAGGCATTTATTAAGTGCCTACTATTGCCAGGTACTGTCTTAGGCTATGGGGATATGAAATACAAAAGAAGTTATTATCACTAGTCTCAAGTAGATTACATTTTATAAGAGATACCATATACATATATGTAGAATAAATACAAGATAGTTTGGTGGGGAAAGATCCCCCCGTGGGGGATGGACAGCCAGTTCTGGGCACAGAGACAGAAGATGGAGTGCTATATTATGAGTAAGGAACTCGGCTAGACTGGGAAGGGGGATAATGAACAACAAAGTTGGAAAGGTAGGTTGGTGACAAATTGTAAAGGGCTTTAAAAGCCAAACAGAAGAGTTTGTATTTTATCCTAGTGGCCATAGGGAGTCACTGAACTTTATAGAGTAGGGGAGTGACGTGGTCAGGTCTGCACTGTAGGAAAACCACTTTGGCAGCAGTGTAGAGGACGGGTTGGACTAAGGTCCCTTTTCTCACCATTTGATTCCTACTTCCTCCCAACCCATAGACCGTGGTGGGACAGACCTGTTTGCTGTAGCTGTCCATGAGTTTGGCCATGCCTTGGGCCTGGCCCACTCCTCCGCCCCCAACTCCATCATGCGGCCTTTCTACCAGGGCCCAGCTGGGGACCCTGTGAAGTACCGGCTTCCACCTGATGACCGAGAAGGGATCCAGCAGCTTTATGGTGAGCCCTGGGATCCTCTACTTTTCCCTTTCCCAGAGCTGGACTAAGGGTTATGGGAACAAAAAAAAATCAAAGTTCCTTCTCCATTCTCTACCTTCCCCCTTTCCCCTCATCTCCCTTGTTTCTTCTTAACATTTAATCCTAGAAGAGCAGGTATTATTATCCCCATTTTACTGATGAGAAAACTGAAACTCAGAAATGAAGTGTTTTATCCAAGGTCACGCAGCTAATAAGCAACAAAACCAGGACTGGAACCCAGGACTTCTAACTCCCAGCCCACTTCTCTTTTCTATCATTCTCCATCTTGAGAATGGGAAAGAGAACTCTTCATAGACCTAGATGCCTTTCAGCTTCTCTAGTTCACCCACTTCTAACTCTACTTCCCTCCAGGAAAAGCTCCAAATAGCCCCAACCCAGAGCCAACTCGGAAACCTCTGATACCTCCACCCCAACCCCCTGGGCAGCCCCCAGACAAGTGAGTATCCTCTTCCTGTCCTGATCGATCTCCAGTTCTTCCCTAGTCCCCTTCATCCTCCTCTCTTTAGCCCCTCTCTCCCCTTCCCCATTCCCCTCTATCCCTAATGACCCCTCTAGTTCTCTGCCTCACTCTCATCTCTCTTTGCCTTCCCACTCCTACATCTTCTCCCAGTCCTTCGGCCCCAGTTCCTGACCGATGTTCTGGTAACTTTGATGCTATCGCCAACATCCGTGGTGAGGTCTTCTTCTTTAAAGGTGAGTGACCTTTGACTCCTATGAGTCTTGCCCTGAAATGTTGACCCCTTTACTGTGTCCCTTCTCTTATCCACTAAGACCTCAAGTCTCTATTTTCCTTTGCTTCTGACCCACCCATAGTAATGACTTGTGACCCTTTTGACCCCTTATATTCTGATGTTCAGCTCAATGCCAAGAGCCTAGTCATATCATGTGTGCCAGATGGAATATGGCCCAAGAGGGGTAGAGAACTAGTACTCAAATACCTACAGCTTGGTCCACTCTACCCTGGGACCTGGGGGTGGGTGACTTTAGGGCTGATAGGTTGGTGACCCCTCCTGTACCCCAGGACCCTGGTTCTGGCGCCTCCAGCCCTCAGGCCAGCTGGTGTCCCCTCGACCTGCGAAGCTGCATCGCTTCTGGGAGGGGCTGCCTGAGCATGTGATGACCGTGGATGCAGCCTATTCTCGGCCCTCAGATGGACGCATCCTGCTTTTTAGTGGTGAGTGGAATGGAGGATGGAGTGAAGAGAGTTGGGGTGGGAGAAGAGAGATGAATAGGAAGATGAGAAGAGAGCCAAGGGAATACTGGAGAGAAGAGAATTGCAAGGGGGCAAGGAGAACAGAGGAAGAAACATTGTTGAGAGGGAGAGACAGAGAGGGAAAAAGAGAGACATGGAGAACTGGGTGGGGGAAGGATGAGGAAGAAGAGTCAGTTGGAGAAATGGACTGGGAGAACTTCAGAGGAAGAGTCAGAGAGGCATGGACAAGAACTAGGTTAGGACCTTGCTGCTGCGAAGGGAAGGGACGACGCCGATGGGGCTTCACATTTGACTGAGTTCATTCCTCCCAATCCTCAGGACACCAGTTCTGGGTGTTTCAGGACCGGCAGCTGGAGGCTGGTTCCCCAAAGTTGCTGACTGAACTGGGGAGGCTGTGGATGCCGTTTTCTCTTGGCCCCATAATGGGAAGACGTACCTGATTCGAGGTGAACAATACTGGCGTTTTGATGAGACCGTCCACAGCGTTGACCCAGGCTACCCTAAGAGGCTGAACCTGTGGGAGGGAGCACCTTCAGCACCTGATGATGTGACTATTGGTAACAAAGGTGTGTGTGTGTTGTGGGGGTAGGATGTGGGTTGACTTGGTGGAGAAAGTGCCTGGGTCTGGGGAGGAGTGAGCTGAGAGTAGAATGGTCTTCTAAGAAGCACCCTGACCTTTCTTTCATTCTCTTTGTACAGGTGACACCTACTTCTTCAAGGGTACTGAGTACTGGCGATTTCCTCCAAGCAGCGTGGTGGCAGAGCCTGGCTCCCCCCACCCCATGGGGCCTGAGTGGTTGGACTGCCCTCGTTCTGCCCCAGGCCCTCCGGCCCCAAGACCTTCCAAGTCTCCCCCCAACTGTCTGTGTGACATCAACCAGGCAGGGAGCTCAGGACCAAGACTTCCTGGTTTCCTCTTCATCTTCTCTGTGATTCTCTCCCTCTTCTTGGGTACAACCACCTGGCCCTAAGAACTGGGGCTGGGGCCAGTAGCTGTCCGCCCCGCCCCAACTTTCCCCTCCTCCTCTCTCTTGCCATAGGGATAAGTCCTGTGTCTGTCCCTCTCTTTTACTGCCCTTCCCAGTACACAGGGCAGGCTAGGCAAGTCACTTCCCCTTTCTGGGCCTCAGTTTCTCCACTTGAAAAAATGAGGGACTTGGATTTAATGGCCTCTAAGGTCCCTTCTAGTTCTAAATCTAGGATCCCATGAATAGATGAGCTCTGATGTCCTCTGGCTCTCAAGAGTTAATAAGAGGGGGCAGCTAGGTGGCACAGTGGATAGAGCACCAGCCCTGAAGTCAGGAGGACCTGAGTTCAAATCTGGCCTCAGACCAAACACCTGACACACTTACTAGCTGTGTGACCCTGGGCAAGTCACTTAACCCCAATTGCCTAAGGACCAAACGAAAAAAAAAAGAGTTAATAAGAATCTAGATTTTCCCAAAGCAAGACTCACTAATGCCTAGTTCATGAGTTTAGTTGTCCATTCCCTGGCCCCTGCTTTCCCTTAGCCCTGGCTTGCACAGTCTATGATTCTGGGCATAGGGGATCAGATTAAGAATTCAAAAAGTCCTCTCTCTATAGCCTATGGGGATCTCAGAGGGTCTTGGAGGCTGCCATTCCCAAGAAGAGCAGACTCCCTATCTGTCTGATCTTCCCTCCTGCAGCCTGCCAAAGAAGGGGGGCCCTGTGGCTGGGTGGGGTCCCAAGGATTAGGGATATTGAAGAGAGGCTGTACAGGTAACTTTGCCCCTCTCCCAGTCTTTGGTTCCTGTAATTCTTGGCTCAGAGAGAGGACTGGGCTTTGCAGAGCCCCCAGCTGCAAGACTGAAAGGAAAGGAAGGCAAGGCTGTCAAGTACAGTCGATTCAGACCTCCTCCATGGAGGAGTGGAGTGGGCTGCAGATCTTTGAAGCCCAAAGGGAGAGTTTTCTTTTTTTTTTAATATAAATTTGTTTATTTTTAGTTTTCAACATTTCAACAAGATTTTGAATTCAAAATTTTCACCCCATCTTGCCCCCCCCACCCCAAGATGGCATGCATTCTGAATACCCCTTCCCCTAGTTTGCCCTCCCTTCTATCTCTCTCCCCCTCCTTCTCTTATCCCCTTCCCCTTCTATTTTCCTGTAAGGCAGGATAGATTTCTGTACCTCATGTCCTGTATTTCTTGTTTACCAATTGCATGTGGAAACATTTTTTTTAAACATGTGTTTTTAAAACTTTGGGTTCCAAATTTTCTCCCTTCTTCCCACCCCACCCACCCTCATTGAAAAGGCAACCAAGTCAATACAGGCCATACATGTGCAGTTATGCAAAACACTTCCATAGTAGACATGTTGTGAAAAACTAACTCTATTTCCCTTAATCCTATCCTGTCCCCCTCCCATTTATTCTATTCTTTCTTTTGACCCTGTCCCTCCTCAGAAGTACTTCCTTCTGATTACCCCTTTCCCAATCAGCCCTTCTCTCTATCATCCACCTCCTCTCTTGTCCCCTTCCTCCCCTGTTTTCCTGTAGGGTAAGACAGATTTCCATACCCAATTGAGTGTGTATATTATTCCCTCCTTAAGTCAAATCCTATGAGAATAAGATTCCCTCATTTCCTCTCACCTTCCCCTGTTTTCCCTCCTTTTCTTGTCTGTTTTGTGTGAGATAATGTACCCCATTCTACCTCTCCCTTTCTCCTTCTCCTAGTATAATCCTCTCTCACCCAAAGGGAGAGTTTTCTCTCTGCTCCTCTGAAACACCTTGACCCTCAGCTGTGCCTGAAAATCTTCCAAGCCCCAGTAGTCAATCCATCAAGATGCCCTGGCCTCCATCTGGTTTCTTGAAGCCCTCAGGAAACAAGGAGGAGCTAGGGAGACTCCCCTCAGACTTTGAACCCCACTTCAGTATTGCTGATTGTCCTCCAGCTTCCTTTGCCTCCTTCTCTCCTTCACTTTGGTTCCCCTTCTCTCCCTAAACCATGGGTTCCTAACCTGGGGCCCACAGATCCTGAGGGGGCTCCCAAAGGGGTCTACAGATGTATTTTAGGGGTTCTATGAACTTGGATGGAAAAAAATACATGTTTATTTTTACTAACTTTGGTTTCCTTTCAAATCTTACATATTTTGTACATTTAAAAACATGATTCCAAGAAGAGGGCCATAAGCTCTACCAGACTGCCAAAGGGGTCCATGAAAGTGGTTAAGAACCCCTGGCCTAAGCAGAAGAGCAAAACTGAGATCATAACGATTATTAAGTTGGAAAAAAGCCTTGAGTTCTGAGTTAGAAGACAGGTGGTTTGGTCATATAGTTCTGCCCATAACTTATTGTGTGACCTTGGGAAAATTCCTTATCCTCTCTGGGAACATTTCATCATCTGGAAAGTGAGAGGATTGGATCTGATGATGACATCGAAGGCCTTACTGCTCTGAAATCTGAAGGCATAGCAATTCAAGGCTCATCCCTGGGCCCAGCCCAGGGGGAGCCCATCAATCCAGGGGCCTATCAGTCCCCCTGCATGGCTTCAGCCTTCATTCTTTGTACCCTCTGTGCTCCTCAACTCACAGAGTATGAGCCTCTAGTGTAAGTGGTCATGGCAGGATGGAGTAAGGATGTGATTTGGTCTTTGACTCCTCCCTCTCTCTTATCCACATGCCCAGTCATTTGACAAATGGTATTGATCCTCCTTTCCTAAGATCCCTTACATCTGCCTTCATCATCTTACAAGATGATGTAGCCTTTTTACCAGCCATCAAGCCTCCATTCTCTTCCATCTCCAATCCCTTCTCTGAGTAGTCTTCCTAATGTACAGCTCTGATCAGATCAAATCAACTTCACTACCTAGCTCCTCATTGCCTACAAGATTAAATTCAAACTCATTAGCATGTCATTCAAGGGTCTCTACATTCTTCTTCTCATTTACATTTTTTTCTCATTCGATTTTATTTTATTTACAGTTCCAAATTCTCTCTCCTTGACCCCTTCTCCCATCCATTGAGAAGGCAAGAAATACAAAACTCATTATAAACATGAAGTCATACAAAACAAATTCCTGCATTAGTCACGTTCTGAAAAAAAGCAGGAGAAAGAAAAAATGTGCTCCCATTTACCTTTTTAAAAAATAGTTTAAAAAAGAAACAGATATATATATAAAGCATATGTGTATTGAATTATATACATATAAACTTTATACATGTATATAGCATAAGAAGATAGTAACAAAAGTGTTCTATTGGTTACTTCTACACTTTTTGTTTTCTTCTGTGAATTTTTATTTTAAAAAAATTTTTTCAATTAACAATTATCCCTTCCTTCCTCTTGCTACCCAGCCTGCATGAACAAAAGAAAAAGAAAAGAAAACCTTCCTAATAAATGAGCATAGTTAAGCAAAGCAAATTCTCTCATTGGCCATGTCCAAAAATATATGTTTCATTCTGCATTTTGAGTCCATTATCTCTATCAAGCGGTACACAGTTACACTTCATGTTTGATCTTCTGGAATTTTGATTTGCACCGATAAGAATTCTCAAATCTTTGTTTTCCTTTATGTTTTATTACATAAATTGTTCTGCTTACATCACTGTAATTACAGTGATTCTTACAGGTCTTTTCTGAAATGATCCATTTCATCATTTCTTATGACTGAATAATATTCCATTATGTTCCTATGCCATAATTCACTTAACTGTTCCACAGTAGATTGGCGCCCTCTTAGTTTTTGATTGTTTCTTCCTACAACAAAAGAGCTGCTGTACATATTTTTGTACACATGAGTCCTTTCCCTTTGATCTCTTTGTGATACTGGTCCAGTAGTGATATCACTGAGTAAAACAGTATGCCCACTTTAATGAGTTCTTTTGTGTACAGCTCCAAAATGCTTTCCACAGTGGTTAGACCAATTTGCACTCTACCAAGAGTGCATTATTGTGTCTATTTTCCCCACAGCTCCTCTGACTTTTGTCATTTTCCTTTTTTGACATCTTTGCTAATCTGATGGATGGGAAGTAGAACCATAGAGTTGCTTTAATTTGCATTTATCTAATTATTAGTGATTTGGAGCATTTTTCATAAGTTCGTTAATATCTTACATATTTTTTACTTAGAAAACTTTGTTTATATCTTTGACCATTTATCTGTTGGGGAATGGCTCTTGTTTTTATAGATTTGAATCAGTTTCTTTTATTATACACACACACATAGGATGTGAAAACTTAAACTTGCTGCAAAGATTTTTTCCCCTCAGTTATACATTTCCGTTCTCATTTTAATTACATTGGTTTATGCAAAAATTTTAAAAATTCATGTAATCAAAACTGTCCATTTTATCTTACATGATCATCTCAATTCCTTTGTCTGGTTATGAACTTATCCATGGATCCAAAAGGTAATTTTTCCTCACTTCTCCAATTTGTTTATGATGTCATTTTTCAAAAAACCTGTCACATATCCATTTGGTGTTTATCCCTTATATCAGGGTATAAGGTATGAGATATTGATCTATACCTAATTTCTGTCAGACTGCTTTTCGGTTTTCCCAAATATTTTTGTCAAATAGTGAATCTTTACCCCAGTAACTGGGGACTTTAGGTTCATCAAACACTCTGCTGTTTGTTGTTGTTGTTGTTGTTGTTGTTGTTGTTGTTTGCTAGGCAATGATAACCCTATTGTTGTGACTTGCCCAGGGTCACACAGCTAATAAGTGTCAAATGTCTGAGGTCAGATTGGAACTCAGGTCCTCCTGACTCTAGGGCTGGTGCTATAGCCACTGTGCCATCTAGCTGCCCCAATGCTTTGCTGTTGTGTTCATTTGCTTCTGTACATAATCTGTTTCATTGATTGACTTCTCTATTTCTTAACCAGTACCAAATAGTTTTGATGATTACTGCATTGTAGTATAATTTGAGATCTGTAGGTTCCCTACTAAGCTCCCTTCTTTCCCCATTTAAAAAAAATTTCCCTTGAGATTCTTGATCTTTTCTTTCTCAATGAAATTTGCTATAATTTTTTTTCTAACTCTATGAAATAATCTTTTGGTAGTTTTATTGATTTGGCAATAAATAAGTAAATTAATTTAGGTAATGTTGCCATTTTATTATATTATTATGACCGGCTCATGAGCAATTAATATTTCTCCAATTATTTAGGTGTGTCTTTATTTCTATAAGTGTTTTGTAGTTTTATTCATCCAGTTCTTGTGTTTATCTTGGTAGATAGACTCCTAAGTAGTTTATACATTTTTTGTGTTATTTCTCTTTCTATCTCATCCTGCTGTACTTTGTTGACAATATACTAGAATGCTAAAGATTTCAGTGGATTTATTTAAATCCTGT